AGTGCGCGGCTCCCCTTGTAGCGTCGAAGACGCTACAGTGAAGCGACCGTGGGGGTGACCACGTGATACAAGTGCGCGGCGGGTCATACAACGTATGACAAGTAAGTCTATGAGTAAGCTTACCAATTTTTGTTGCAATCGGAGGTCGGGAAGGATACTCAATATCTATTTGTTTGAAGAAAATTGTGCTGGCCGAAATTAGCGCTAAAAAACCTTGACGGATGTTACTCGTCTAAATTTCTTCGAAGTAGCGCGCGCCGCTTTCTTCTCGACGGCAAGTGCTACGAAGTAGCGCGCGCCGGGCCAGACCATTAACAATGGTCAATAAAAAACCATCCTACAGTCCATTGTATCACGTGGTGACCCCCACGGTCGCTTCACTTCGACGATACAGGGGGAGCCGCGCACTTCGTGCGCGGCGGGTCATACAATGTATGACAAACAGTCCACAGTCGGCATGCGCGGCTCACTGTCGATGGCGCACTACCTAGTACTTGAAGTAGTATATAGAGTGTCAATTGCAATTTTGATTAGAATTTTTTGGACTTAATTTCAATGAAGAGGATTTTATCAAAGACGTTAGCTCTGAGCTCGTGAAAAGATAAATCCATTGGTTGACGATGTCAACCCATCGAGATCGTTACCTGGGGACCCCAGGCTATTATGTTCATTAACCGAATAGAGATTAGGCGGAATGACAGGCTGAGCGCGGCCCAGTAACGAGATCGTTGCTCTGCTTCGCACAGCAACGATCGACGATGCGAAGCAAGAATGCTAGTTCGCGCGGCGCGTCGAAGCGGCGAAGTCCTCCAAATAAATCCCAAATCCACTGATATTTCATGATCCACCTCAGGTTGTTCATTGTTCATTGCTCTTTTGTTTTTGATTCTGAGTCATTATCTATATTTTGAATCTTCATCGTCGAGCAGTCAAAGCAGTTAACTCTGCCGAGTCAGGGTCTTCAGTGGTATTTTATTTGTCTTTGCGATGAGTGTTATATCATGATCATTTATTACCCAGCGTGAGCATCGAAGATTCGAGCATTATCAAGCTAATCTAGGCGCTAAAATTATTAAAATTACATTGCCTAAAATTTCCCGAAATTCGGGAAAATAAAAAAATTTCCCGGTCGGGAATTTCAGGTCAAAAATGAAAAATGGTCGGGAAATCCCTTGTCATACGTTGTATGACCCGCCGCGCACGAAGTGCGCGGCTCCCCCTGTATCGTCAGGACGAGCCATAGTGAAACGACCGTGGGGGTCGCAACGTGATACAATATTTTATCAATTCACCTAACCATGTGCTTTCGCGCCACTTCGGGCGCGCTTGTTCATTGTTTCACAAGTCAAGTTTTTACCGCCGTGAGGCGGGCGCGTGCTACTGTAAGCGCAAGGGCTCTGGATAGAGCAATTTTATCAATATCATAGACCGAGTATCTGTATAGACCAACTATTCAATATTTCGACGGTACGTATGTGTTGGGGGACTTCGCCGCTTCGACGCGCCGCGCGAGCTAGCATTCTTGCTTCGCATCGAAGCATCGTCGATCGTTGCTCTGCTTCGCAGAGCAACGATCTCGATGGGTTGACATCGTCAAATAACGTATGTGTTGACATACGCTGTAACCCCGGCCCTTTTGAGCGCGCGCGAAGCGCGCGCGGCCGGCCGGCGTGCACGAGAGGTATATACAACGTGTAGCAACGTATGTGATACTAGTACTACTAGTACTACTGGTATGTGATACGTATGTTAATTATTATACTACTTATACGCATAGTTAATTTACAAATATCATAGGTACACAATAATGACTTACTTATGATTAGCACGGAATGCTTTTTATTAATTACTATTAGTAATTAATTACTAAGCTAATTATTCTGAACGTTATTTACCCTTGACATAGAAAGAAAACGATCATTTTTATATTTCTTGAATTAAATTGGCAGTTATATCCACAAATAACATTATTACATACAGTTTGAAGGTCCCACCTGAATTTAAACGAATATGAATTAGGGATCCCGACGAATAACTCAACTAGTCCTGAAAAGCAGCTGTAACTGATAACTGTTCATATTTTTGGTTCATAATTTATAGAATCATTTGTCTTTGCTTACGATGGAGTCTGACTCTTTCCTTAAAATGTGTAAAAATACGCTTATCACGAACAATTAAGTCTTCGTGGGACCCCAGGCTATTATGTTCATTAACCGAATAGAGATTAGGCGGAATGACAGGCTGAGCGCGGCCCAGTAACGAGATCGTTGCTCTGCTTCGCACAGCAACGATCGACGATGCGAAGCAAGAATGCTAGTTCGCGCGGCGCGTCGAAGCGGCGAAGTCCTCCAAATAAATCCCAAATCCACTGATATTTCATGATCCACCTCAGGTTGTTCATTGTTCATTGCTCTTTTGTTTTTGATTCTGAGTCATTATCTATATTTTGAATCTTCATCGTCGAGCAGTCAAAGCAGTTAACTCTGCCGAGTCAGGGTCTTCAGTGGTATTTTATTTGTCTTTGCGATGAGTGTTATATCATGATCATTTATTACCCAGCGTGAGCATCGAAGATTCGAGCATTATCAAGCTAATCTAGGCGCTAAAATTATTAAAATTACATTGCCTAAAATTTCCCGAAATTCGGGAAAATAAAAAAATTTCCCGGTCGGGAATTTCAGGTCAAAAATGAAAAATGGTCGGGAAATCCCTTGTCATACGTTGTATGACCCGCCGCGCACGAAGTGCGCGGCTCCCCCTGTATCGTCAGGACGAGCCATAGTGAAACGACCGTGGGGGTCGCAACGTGATACAATATTTTATCAATTCACCTAACCATGTGCTTTCGCGCCACTTCGGGCGCGCTTGTTCATTGTTTCACAAGTCAAGTTTTTACCGCCGTGAGGCGGGCGCGTGCTACTGTAAGCGCAAGGGCTCTGGATAGAGCAATTTTATCAATATCATAGACCGAGTATCTGTATAGACCAACTATTCAATATTTCGACGGTACGTATGTGTTGGGGGACTTCGCCGCTTCGACGCGCCGCGCGAGCTAGCATTCTTGCTTCGCATCGAAGCATCGTCGATCGTTGCTCTGCTTCGCAGAGCAACGATCTCGATGGGTTGACATCGTCAAATAACGTATGTGTTGACATACGCTGTAACCCCGGCCCTTTTGAGCGCGCGCGAAGCGCGCGCGGCCGGCCGGCGTGCACGAGAGGTATATACAACGTGTAGCAACGTATGTGATACTAGTACTACTAGTACTACTGGTATGTGATACGTATGTTAATTATTATACTACTTATACGCATAGTTAATTTACAAATATCATAGGTACACAATAATGACTTACTTATGATTAGCACGGAATGCTTTTTATTAATTACTATTAGTAATTAATTACTAAGCTAATTATTCTGAACGTTATTTACCCTTGACATAGAAAGAAAACGATCATTTTTATATTTCTTGAATTAAATTGGCAGTTATATCCACAAATAACATTATTACATACAGTTTGAAGGTCCCACCTGAATTTAAACGAATATGAATTAGGGATCCCGACGAATAACTCAACTAGTCCTGAAAAGCAGCTGTAACTGATAACTGTTCATATTTTTGGTTCATAATTTATAGAATCATTTGTCTTTGCTTACGATGGAGTCTGACTCTTTCCTTAAAATGTGTAAAAATACGCTTATCACGAACAATTAAGTCTTCGTGGGACCCCAGGCTATTATGTTCATTAACCGAATAGAGATTAGGCGGAATGACAGGCTGAGCGCGGCCCAGTAACGAGATCGTTGCTCTGCTTCGCACAGCAACGATCGACGATGCGAAGCAAGAATGCTAGTTCGCGCGGCGCGTCGAAGCGGCGAAGTCCTCCAAATAAATCCCAAATCCACTGATATTTCATGATCCACCTCAGGTTGTTCATTGTTCATTGCTCTTTTGTTTTTGATTCTGAGTCATTATCTATATTTTGAATCTTCATCGTCGAGCAGTCAAAGCAGTTAACTCTGCCGAGTCAGGGTCTTCAGTGGTATTTTATTTGTCTTTGCGATGAGTGTTATATCATGATCATTTATTACCCAGCGTGAGCATCGAAGATTCGAGCATTATCAAGCTAATCTAGGCGCTAAAATTATTAAAATTACATTGCCTAAAATTTCCCGAAATTCGGGAAAATAAAAAAATTTCCCGGTCGGGAATTTCAGGTCAAAAATGAAAAATGGTCGGGAAATCCCTTGTCATACGTTGTATGACCCGCCGCGCACGAAGTGCGCGGCTCCCCCTGTATCGTCAGGACGAGCCATAGTGAAACGACCGTGGGGGTCGCAACGTGATACAATATTTTATCAATTCACCTAACCATGTGCTTTCGCGCCACTTCGGGCGCGCTTGTTCATTGTTTCACAAGTCAAGTTTTTACCGCCGTGAGGCGGGCGCGTGCTACTGTAAGCGCAAGGGCTCTGGATAGAGCAATTTTATCAATATCATAGACCGAGTATCTGTATAGACCAACTATTCAATATTTCGACGGTACGTATGTGTTGGGGGACTTCGCCGCTTCGACGCGCCGCGCGAGCTAGCATTCTTGCTTCGCATCGAAGCATCGTCGATCGTTGCTCTGCTTCGCAGAGCAACGATCTCGATGGGTTGACATCGTCAAATAACGTATGTGTTGACATACGCTGTAACCCCGGCCCTTTTGAGCGCGCGCGAAGCGCGCGCGGCCGGCCGGCGTGCACGAGAGGTATATACAACGTGTAGCAACGTATGTGATACTAGTACTACTAGTACTACTGGTATGTGATACGTATGTTAATTATTATACTACTTATACGCATAGTTAATTTACAAATATCATAGGTACACAATAATGACTTACTTATGATTAGCACGGAATGCTTTTTATTAATTACTATTAGTAATTAATTACTAAGCTAATTATTCTGAACGTTATTTACCCTTGACATAGAAAGAAAACGATCATTTTTATATTTCTTGAATTAAATTGGCAGTTATATCCACAAATAACATTATTACATACAGTTTGAAGGTCCCACCTGAATTTAAACGAATATGAATTAGGGATCCCGACGAATAACTCAACTAGTCCTGAAAAGCAGCTGTAACTGATAACTGTTCATATTTTTGGTTCATAATTTATAGAATCATTTGTCTTTGCTTACGATGGAGTCTGACTCTTTCCTTAAAATGTGTAAAAATACGCTTATCACGAACAATTAAGTCTTCGCTTAAAGATTATACGACGTCCTTTGACCCTCAATGACAATATGTGCGATTTTAAGGCCCGAAAGTCGTGATTCGAACTTCGACCGAGTTAGTGATTTACTAAATGATAGATACTACGATAGACTGGTGAATGTAATGAAATTTAAGTTAGACGGTATGTTATTTGTATACAAAACTTTATCGACGATATTTAAAAATTTGGGATTTATTTAGCCTATGAACTTATTATAAGGTCTCATTATATATATTTAATCAACCAAATACATATTAAGAAGTTAAACCTGAAACAAATACCATGTCCGAAATTGTTAAAAATTTATTCCAGTGATTTTCAGGGTGAAAATTATATATTCGCAAAATATACAGTTGCAGTTTGTCTGATATCTCAACTAAGTCAACTTTAAAATAAATCTGAGCTGTTTTACTTTTAGAATTTGAATATGTCATTGTCTCCGTGGTTCACACTCAAACAAAATTCAAGTTTTTGATCGCTTCGAAGGAGTTCCCGTCAAAGACGTATCGATTGACCTTTTGTTTGAAGTCGTTCCATTCCAATTCGATGACCTTATGTTTTTAAAGGACTTTTTGGCAGGTTCTATCAGAAAGTTTTCCAACTTTGACTGGTTGTCTCCGTGTATGAGGTATTCAGGAATGTACTCCAACTTCAGACAATAAACTCCCGCCTCAATTAACGCTCCCACTGGAATGTCTGCGGAGTGCGGTTATAGTGTGCTGCTTAAGGGAAAATTAATCAATTTTAAATCTAATTTCCCAGTGATCTTTGAAATTTTGTCCAAACCGACAAAACAGTGCATGTTACCCTACTCTGGAATTGTAAAACCCTGAAAGACAGCACATCTAACTAAAATATTCACATACCTGATAATGATTGATTGGACTCGAAGAAAGCGTGTGTAGTCCCGCTTTGTACAGAATACGGAGGTTTATCTTGAATAACACATCCACCTCCAACTTCTATTATACCTTGACAGAGGGAAATTGTATATAATAGCAGATCTTAGAAAAAATCAGTCGTATATTCTTAACAAATGTTAACAAGCTGCTAACTGAAGTCTGAACATAAGAAACGAGTCAGCAGACAAACCTTTGAAGCTGCGTATCTTGGAGGAAGAGATGCAGAGAACCACCCTCCAAGTGCTGAAGGCTTTCTTCTTGATCCATCTACAAGAGGCTTCTCCAAGACTCTTGTTTATACCTGAGCAGGAAACAGCTGAGTATGAAGAAAACTCGCTTTTCAGAGCACAAAGTAATTACAGGTGGATTTACATACTTAATCGTGAGGTTCCTAATACTACTTAAGTTAAAATATTAATTTAAAAAAAGTAATAATAATAAAAGATTTTAAAATATACATATAACCACACGAAGCTTGCTTGTGAAAAGATAAGAATTTGAAGTATGAAGATGGTGTACCCATAAGGTCAGAAGAGAAGTTGTCCCACGTGTAGCTGGTCTCATCGACCCAGGAACCCTGTTCCTTGGACACTGTAACATAGCTGGGATGCAGTGTCCAGATACCTGAACCCAGACTTGAGATGAACTTTTCGTTTCTGTTCGGTTTACTTGCCTGAGAGACGGTTATTTAGCTTAATAAATGGTACACTGCTTTTAGACCCGCTGCGCGCTTTTGCTGTTAATCTCATTAGTATAGAATCAAATTAACATTCAATCTTTTCCACATTTTGACAGTCGTACTCATCAAGTAAAAAAGTTTTAAAACAGCTAGCCGATATTTTTAAACAAAATATTTAAAGTACAACTTACGATTAGATGGGTACATCTAGAATCAAAACCCACAGAATTAATCAGTTCACCACCAAGGTTCTCAATCACCCCACCGCACATCTTCTTCTCGGCATCGTTCATCCCTGATATGACCGGGTGAACAATGCAATGGTACAATAAGTGCAAATTAATCAGTACCCAAGCTGACTGATTACGCACTTTTCTAAACATTGTTGCTGAATGTTGAATGTTGAAATTAGAAACCGCCGTTATTAGGTTGATACGTTGAGGTTGATATGTTGAGATCGCAATATAAATCGTAACGGCATCACATCGTCACGATTAGTTCGAGAGCATACCTTCAGTTGTGTTACCAATTACCATTTTAAATGGAGCTGTTACCTGTAAGCATGAAGACAAACTGCTTTGGTTTCTCCTCTTCCACCTTTGTCTGCTCCATTGATAAGTCAGAGAAGTCAAAGTCATCCGTTAAATCTTTATCTTTACAGAGCTCTTTTGCTGAGCTTAGTTTTTGAACTGTTGGTGTCTGGTCCTAAAATAAGTTCAAGGGTATCGATAAAATAATAGCTTAAATGATAACAGTGATTACATCTATGAGTTTATGAATCGCAATATAGCTGCTAAAAATGCAGTCATAAGCTTTTAATTTCCACGCCAAGGTCCCAGATCTTATTACCATTTAATAATCACTGATTGTCATAAAACTACAGCATCAATAGCGCAGCTTTTAAACAAAAACTGCAATAATACATAGGTATAATGGTTAATGGTAGGTTCTCACGGATGATCTGTTAGGAGTAGAACTAGAAGTAGGAGCCAGAGAAATATTAGGCAGATTAGAGTTGTTGAGAGTATCGTCTGATACCGTAGTACCAGTCACGTGACATGAGATGACACTCCTATCAGGGGAGGGGTTCACAGGAGGAGAGTTGCTAGGTCGGGGGATGAGAGTGTGAGAACCTGCAGCAGGGCGCTTAGCTTCATCTTCTGTTTTAGCAACCAGTGCTTCTCTCCCGGCCTGACCATCCTCGTATGTTACTGTGAAATAATGGTTATTAGAATGCTCTGAATAGAATTAAGATGATAAGATGATACGTTTAGATATTTGTGTCGTGTCATTTACTCGCCTTTCTTTAATTTTGTCAGTATTTATGTTTTTGTTTATGATTGGTGTCCCATTACCCTTGTGTTTTACAATTTTTGCATAATTTCTACAGTCGTACCTTCTCATGAATTTTTCCTTAAATTTGATGACATTTAAAAGATTTCATATTAATTTTCACGTAAATTTTGGGCAGAGGCACATATTAGGTGCGATGGGTGGCGGGATCGCACAATTTACCGTTTTCCGCACATTTCCGCATAATTTATTGATTTCCGCACATTTTGTAATTTTCTGCATATTTCCGCATAATCTAGCATTTTCCGCGTAATTTCGCATAATTTTGAAGTTTTCGCGTTAAGATTTTCGAGTGTAAAAACCAAAATATGTTAAAAGTCGGGCCCTTATAATAGGACCGTGACTCAGGCCCTTTCGGGACCCTGACTCAGGCCCTTTCGGGACCCTGACCCAGGCCCTTTCGGGACTGTGACCCAGGCCCTTTTGGAACTCATACCTAGGCCACGTGACCCAGTTACCACGTGACCCAGGCCCTTTCGGGACCCTGACCCAGGCCTTTTCGGGACCGTGACCCAGGCCCTTTCGGGACCGTTACCCAGGCCCTTTCGGGACTGTGACCCAGGCCCTTTTGGAACTCATACCTAGGCCACGTGACCCAGTTACCACGTGACCCAGGCCCTTTCGGGACCCTGACCCAGGCCCTTTCGCGACCGTGACCCAGGCCCTTTCGGGACCGTTACCCAGGCCCTTTCGGGACCGTGACCCATGCCCTTTCGGGACCGTGAACCAGGCCGTTATGGAACCCTCGTCGTTACCGTACTTCGATTATAGTGTATCAGTTATCATTCGTACCTTCACCACATCATCTGGTTACTCTATATCACATCACAACGTCATGGACCGTTTCCTAAAGAAACGAACAGCTACAGACAGTGACCCATCATCAAGCTCACCACACAAGAAACATATTTGCGATCACGCATGGGATCTGATCGACTCTATCAAGAGGCGTCTTCAAATAACTGTCTCCTGATCTCTACCAGATCAAGTCACTGTTCTCAGATAACTGAATCTCAATATAGGTTCAATCATGGTCTTAGTAAAGAACTACACCCTCAGTAACACAATACACATAAACAGACCTATTTTTGATAAGAGCGGCGGTTATACGTTTAGAATTTCCAAAGTCTTTGAGAAAATGCAAAAGAAAACCGCACAATTCCCGCACAAATTTCGAAAAAATCGCCGCACATTTGCCGCATAATTGGTAAAAATTTACCGCACCTTACCGCACATTTTACCTTTATAGTCGGGTGCGGTACCGCATAATTTCGATTTTTTTACCGCACCTAATATGTGCCTCTGATTTTGGGATTCTTGTTTTTAAGGCTGTTTTGTTCCACCTAAGTATGAGTCTAACTTAATACTATTCAGGAGGTTCTCTAAAGATGATATTTTATTCGAAGAATTCAAGAGCCTAGCTTAACTGTGTATGATTCGCCTCTCCAAACAAATCTACAGGAACCTCTAGTGTTACACTTACCAGAGGGGGGAGCTTGTGACATGAGGTCCTCTACAGGAACCTCTAGTGTTACACTAACCAGAGGGGGGAGCTTGTGACACGAGGTCCTCTACAGGAACCTCGAGTGTTACACTTACAAGACGGGGGAGCTTGTGACATGAGGTCCTCTACAGGAACCTCTAGTGTTACACTTACCAGAGGGGGGAGCTTGTGACACGAGGTCCTCTACAGGAACCTCTAGTGTTACACTTACCAGAGGGGGGAGCTTGTGACACGAGGTCCTCTACAAGAACCTCTAGTGTTACACTTACCAGAGAAGGAGGTTGTGACACGAGGTCCTCTACAAGAACCTCTAGTGTTACACTTACCAGAGAAGGAGGTTGTGACACGAGGTCCTCTACAGGAACCTCTAGTGTTACACTTACCAGAGGGGGGAGCTTGTGACACGAGGTCCTCTACAGGAACCTCTAGTGTTACACTTACCAGACGGGGGAGCTTGTGAGACGAGGTCCTCTACAGGAACCTCTAGTGTTACACTTACAAGACGGGGGAGCTTGTGAGACGAGGTCCTCTACAGGAACCTCTAGTGTTACACTAACCAGAGGGGGGAGCTTGTGACACGAGGTCCTCTACAGGAACCTCGAGTGTTACACTTACAAGACGGGGGAGCTTGTGACATGAGGTCCTCTACAGGAACCTCTAGTATTACACTTACCAGAGGGGGGAGCTTGTGACACGAGGTCCTCTACAGGAACCTCTAGTGTTACACTTACCAGAGGGGGGAGCTTGTGACACGAGGTCCTCTACAGGAACCTCTAGTGTTACACTTACCAGAGAAGGAGGTTGTGACACGAGGTCCTCTACAGGAACCTCTAGTGTTACACTTACCAGAGAAGGAGGTTGTGACATGAGGTCCTCTACAGGAACCTCAAGTGTTACACTTACCAGAGGGGGGAGCTTGTGACACGAGGTCCTCTACAAGAACCTCTAGTGTTACACTTACCAGAGGGGGGAGGTTGTGACACGAGGTCCTCTACAGGAACCTCTAGTGTTACACTTACCAGAGGGGGGAGCTTGTGACATGAGGTCCTCTACAGGAACCTCTAATGTTACACTTACCAGAGAAGGAGGTTGTGACACGAGGTCCTCTACAGGAACCTCTAGTGTTACACTTACCAGAGGGGGGAGCTTGTGACACGAGGTCCTCTACAAGAACCTCTAGTGTTACACTTACCAGAGGGGGGAGCTTGTGACACGAGGTCCTCTACAGGAACCTCTAGTGTTACACTTACCAGAGAAGGAGGTTGTGACACGAGGTCCTCTACAGGAACCTCTAGTGTTACACTTACCAGAGGGGGAGCGTGTGACATGAGGTCCTCTACAGGAACCTCTAGTGTTACACTTACCAGAGAAGGAGGTTGTGACACGAGGTCCTCTACAAGAACCTCTAGTGTTACACTTACCAGAGAAGGAGGTTGTGACACGAGGTCCTCTACAGGAACCTCTAGTGTTACACTTACCAGAGGGGGAGCGTGTGACATGAGGTCCTCTACAGGAACCTCTAGTGTTACACTTACCAGAGAAGGAGGTTGTGACACGAGGTCCTCTACAGGAACCTCTAGTGTTACACTTACCAGAGAAGGAGGTTGTGACACGAGGTCCTCTACAGGAACCTCTAGTGTTACACTTACCAGAGGGGGGAGCTTGTGACATGAGGTCCTCTACAGGAACTTCTAGTGTTACACTTACCAGAGGGGGAGCTTGTGACATGAGGTCCTCTACAGGAACCTCTAGTGTTAGACTTACCAGTTGTGACACGAGGTCCTCTACAGGAACCTCTAGTGTTAGACTTACCAGTTGTGACACGAGGTCCTCTACAGGAACCTCTAGTGTTACACTTACAAGACGGGGGAGCTTGTGAAATGAGGTCCTCTACAGGAACCTCTAGTATTACACTTACCAGAGGGGGGAGCTTGTGACACGAGGTCCTCTACAGGAACCTCTAGTGTTACACTTACCAGAGGGGGGAGCTTGTGACACGAGGTCCTCTACAAGAACCTCTAGTGTTACACTTACCAGAGGGGGGAGCTTGTGACACGAGGTCCTCTACAAGAACCTCTAGTGTTACACTTACCAGAGGGGGGAGGTTGTGACACGAGGTCCTCTACAGGAACCTCTAGTGTTACACTTACCAGAGGGGGGAGCTTGTGACATGAGGTCCTCTACAGGAACCTCTAGTGTTACACTTACCAGAGAAGGAGGTTGTGACAAGAGGTCCTCTACAGGAACCTCTAGTGTTACACTTACCAGAGGGGGGAGCTTGTGACACGAGGTCCTCTACAAGAACCTCTAGTGTTACACTTACCAGAGGGGGGAGGTTGTGACAAGAGGTCCTCTACAGGAACCTCTAGTGTTACACTTACCAGAGGGGGGAGCTTGTGACACGAGGTCCTCTACAAGAACCTCTAGTGTTACACTTACCAGAGAAGGAGGTTGTGACACGAGGTCCTCTACAAGAACCTCTAGTGTTACACTTACCAGAGGGGGGAGGTTGTGACACGAGGTCCTCTACAGGAACCTCTAGTGTTAGACTTACCAGAGAAGGAGGTTGTGACACGAGGTCCTCTACAGGAACCTCTAGTGTTACACTTACCAGAGGGGGGAGGTTGTGACACGAGGTCCTCTAAAAGAACCTCTAGTGTTACACTTACCAGAGAAGGAGGTTGTGACACGAGGTCCTCTACAGGAACCTCTAGTGTTACACTTACCAGAGGGGGAGCTTGTGACACGAGGTCCTCTACAGGAACCTCTAGTGTTACACTTACCAGAGGGGGGAGCTTGTGACACGAGGTCCTCTAAAGGAACCTCTAGTGTTACACTTACCAGAGAAGGAGGTTGTGACACGAGGTCCTCTACAGGAACCTCTAGTGTTACACTTACCAGAGGGGGAGCTTGTGACATGAGGTCCTCTACAGGAACCTCTAGTGTTACACTTACCAGAGGGGGGAGCTTGTGACACGAGGTCCTCTACAGGAACCTCTAGTGTTACACTTACCAGAGGGGGAGCTTGTGACATGAGGTCCTCTACAGGAACCTCTAGTGTTACACTTACCAGAGGGGGGAGCTTGTGACATGAGGTCCTCTACAGGAACCTCTAGTGTTACACTTACCAGAGGGGGGAGCTTGTGACATGAGGTCCTCTACAGGAACCTCTAGTGTTACACTTACCAGAGGGGGGAGCTTGTGACATGAGGTCCTCTACAGGAACCTCTAGTGTTACACTTACCAGAGGGGGGAGCTTGTGACATGAGGTCCTCTACAGGAACCTCTAGTGTTAGACTTACCAGAGGGGGGAGCTTGTGACATGAGGTCCTCTACAGGAACCTCTAGTGTTACACTTACCAGAGGGGGGAGCTTGTGACATGAGGTCCTCTACAGGAACCTCTAGTGTTACACTTACCAGAGGGGGGAGCTTGTGACATGAGGTCCTCTACAGGAACCTCTAGTGTTAGACTTACCAGAGGGGGGAGCTTGTGACATGAGGTCCTCTACAGGAACCTCTAGTGTTACACTTACCAGAGGGGGGAGCTTGTGACATGAGGTCCTCTACAGGAACCTCTAGTGTTACACTTACCAGAGGGGGGAGCTTGTGACATGAGGTCCTCTACAAGAACCTCTAGTGTTACACTTACCAGAGAAGGAGGTTGTGACACGAGGTCCTCTACAGGAACCTCTAGAGTTACACTTACCAGAGGGGGGAGCTTGTGACACGAGGTCCTCTACAGGAACCTCTAGTGTTACACTTACCAGAGGGGGGAGCTTGTGACATGAGGTCCTCTACAGGAACTTCTAGTGGGGTTATTTTGCGGGTAGTGCTCCTCTTTGGTATTTTGTGCCTTGATCGAGGTGTTCCTGAAAATAGAGCCGCTGAAGAGTACTAATACTGGGGTGGCAGTAATAACTTCGAGATTAATTTGGATATCGCGACTAAGAACAGTTTGAGTTTAAGAAGGTTATTCGATGGGACTTTTACACTGTAGAACTAACGGTCAAAAAATAAATGTGAAGTACCAGGGGCGACAAAAGCTGTGCTTTTTTCTTCTGATGGGGCGATCTTCGTTAGCATGTCGATTTCTTTCGCTAGATTCTGCAATGAAAATGGTCACCTAAACTCATTAGATTGTGTCATAACAGGTTATGATGTTCACTGTAATAATTTGAACAAAAATGAACATGTTGTTTAGATCCCCAGAAGCACAAATTTCAGGTTTACAAATTGATGATATGTAAAACTAAAATATAAAGACTCAATACAATGGCAATAATAATAAAATAACCGGGTCCAAAGAATGTGAGTCCTCCAGTAAGCTTGTATGTTTGTCAGTGACCGTGTTATCAATATCTACAGCAGACACTTGGACATCCTCAGATACTGAAAGGTATTAGGTGTTGTATTGCAAACACATAATTTCAGTCGAACACCCCGTTAAATTACATACTTACCGGTTGTCCGTTGTTTGTAATAACCAGAAATCTATTTAACTGATACTGAAAGTTGAGGTGCTAGTATTGCAGCCCACAAAACGTGGAATAGTTGGAAATTTCCGTGAATTCCACAATCCCATGGGAGTCAATAATATTTGTGTACCCGTATCTTATAGCATTCCTAATTGATCTGAGCGGACTAAAGAGGTGTAGGTGTTAATATACTTAATTCAAAGGACTCTGTAATGTGTATGCTTTATAAAAGTGCGTAAAGTACTCAAAATATAGGCAGAGTCTTTTTAAATATCCCCAGTACCCGAATAAATCATGGTTTTGCTAATCGTATGCAGAAATTACGTTTTTTTTGTAAGTCGGAGGATCCTGCCCAAAGTTTCGATGTATGAATTGTGGTTGACAAAGGATTGGCTAAAAGTTGCTTCAGCAAACACGTTTTACTTATCAATAAAAAACATTTCGTAAAGTCTATAAAAAAGTTTTATGAAACCCTGAACCCTCTTTATGACACTAAGCTGTATATTAGCAGATAATTTAAAACTGCAATTACACTACAAGGTTATCCGCAAGGTTTCAACATGTTGGCATAACGTTAAGTTTTAAAGTGAACCGTGAGAACGAGAACTGCTACAACTGCAATGTAGTTGAAGGGTTCAATTTCAGGTAGCAGAACTTTTTGAGAATAGCTTAGGGTTAATTAAATAACTGCTTTATTTTTACATGTTTTGTATTCATTTTCAATTGGTTTCTGCAAACGTTTCATCTTTTCAGTGCTTTAACAACTTTGAATTTTCGTAGTCAATAGTCATTGTAGCCCGCCTGCCCCTCCCACATTTATAGAATGTCCCAGAATGCTGGAGACAACAGCAATGATACTGAATTTAGATATTATTAATTAGTTATGATATATTTATAACTAGAAGTTGTAGCAAGTTCAGTGTTTAACGCAGGAGCATTCTGTTGTAAGAATAAATTCTCAGCAATCTGGTATGAACGCTATTTACGGACAATTACAGTTGTCAAATCGCTAAACTTTTTTAAATGTCTCGTTTCATTACTTCGTACTAACGAATTCCGCAGTTTCTGATGTTCAAGTTTTACGTTTTTACGCGCCCGAATTACCCTTTTAAGATTAGGGGAACTGATTCAAAATTGGATTCCTTATGGGGACAGATCCATCATGTAATTTTTGGTAGCCAATCCATAATATTACACTTTAAAACTGTCTGCATTCCATTCCATTCCACATAATCATTAACATCGCACTTTCATAATTCATAATTATTATATGGTTTCATTGGTAATTAATTGTGGTGGTAGATTTTAATTTGTACACTGTACAGGAGTTGCATCTGCACTCGATATCTGTGTTTTCGTGACCCACAGGTCATTTAATTGCATACATTTTGAGTTTTTCGCATATCAAGCTAGTTCGTAAATTTATATTTACTTTCGGGATACATTTAAAAAAATACAGTATATAATATTGTATATATTATACTCCAGCAATTCTTATGGTTCTTAATCTCGACGCTTCAACGATTCGACGGAATTTAAAAAATGTACTCAAAAGTGGAGGGCGTTTGACGTTTCTGGATGTTTCCTAGTATTTAACGAGCACCACGCTGCTGGTCCGCTGATTCCATTTAACGGCGCTTCAAGAGAAATTGTTACCCAGGTATGTGTGGTACATCAGTCCTGTTCGAAGATATTTGCTTTGAAAAGTAATCTGATTAATAATGAGTGGAAATCGGCAAATTGTCACGAATTTAACCATGAAGTTGAGCATAAGTGAGATTATAATAAGTAAAATTTTATCAATGTTATCTTAGAATCACCATTTTAGAATTCAATGATAGGATTTAGGCGCCAGGATTTTTGTTGGTTAGATACAATATTAGCATCTTATCGATCATGAAAGCACTTGAATTGATTTTTTATTTTATTATTCACGAAGAGGGACTGTAAATGGAAGGATTGTAAAATGTGTGACACTAGCACTTTAAAATTTGTTATTATTATCAGCATATCCGTTTTTATTTATCCGTTTTTATCTATTTACAGTTTTGAATGTTATATAGTTCCATAATATCATCACACTAGTGTAACCCGGCCTTCGGCCGGGATTTCACTGCCGCAGTTAAAAAGGGTAAGAATAAATACCCGCTGAGTCAAAACCCGCATTAGGTGACCACATAGTATCTTATTCTTAACCAATAATTTTGTAATCAGTTCTTTCTCGTGGATAATTAAGTAATAATTAGGCCCCACATTCCATGATCATAAGGTCCGAACACCGACTATTACACCTCATTACTCCCGTCTTGAACCGCTTTCCATTTTTATTTAAATCGTTTTAGAAATTAACCCTTGTTAACTCCGCACCACACCCACCTATTATATTTGAAAACACGCATAGCATTTTCGTATGAAAGTATGAACTATCTCTCTCTGCAGTCCAAACAGACCCCAAAAACTAACAGTGCCCCCTCCCTAATAAGCTTATGGTATAATATTACAGCTAATCCTCCCGAGCTAACTTAATTATGCAGCTACATATACAGTAATGGGAAAGAGAGCGAGACCCGTAAATCTTACCATTCTGCTCAAGCCATTTTATGTAACATTTGTGGTACAAAACCATCAATTAAACCACTTACCACCTACCGATTAAAAAACCCTTTACCATTTGACTTCCTCATAGTTTTGTCGGCACTATACCGAAAAAACCAGCCCCGTAACTCTTACCGTTTTCTTGATTAAGCCGCTCGGAAATTACACACGCACACACAGACAGAAAACACACATCTTGAAAATATTATTATAGATTCCATGTAATCCACTATACTATAACACTGAAGACCATGGCATTGCACACAGAGATACAGGGTGGCCCAGAGATTGTAGTTCATCACACAAACATACCACTAAAAAGTAATTTGATCAACAATGAGTAGAAATGGGCAAATTGTCACGAATATAACCATGAAGTTGAGCATAAGTGAGATAATAATAAGTAATATTTTATTAACTTTATACTGTTATATATTCCACTATACTACACTGAAGACCATGGCATTGCACATAGTGATAGTTCATCACACAAACATACCACTGATGGGCTATATATACTAGTTCCCGGCCCCGTGCACAAGTCCTCTTGTTCATTAAGGGGATCCATTTCTTATATATACCCAAAACAAAAACAAAACAATATATAATAATAGTATCATAGATACTGCACGGTGAACCGGCAATAATCCCTTGACTGGTAAAGTAATTACTTGGCTTAATGTAGGTTATCTGGACAATTTCACGCCATTTTGTTTTACCAAATATGGCTTATAGTTATATATTTAATTAGTACTCCCTTTATTTTTGAGGGGCTCAACAGTCCACTACTTGACTGGTAAAGCAATTACTTGGCTTAATTTAGGTTATCTGGACAAGTTCACGCCATTTTGTTTTATCAAATATGGCTTATAGTTATATATTTAATTAGTACTCCCTTTATTTTTGAGGGGCTCAACAGTCCACTACTTGACTGGTAAAGCAATTACTTGGCTTAATTTAGGTTATCTGGACAAGTTCACGCCATTTTGTTTTATCAAATATGGCTTATAGTTATATATTTAATTAGTACTCCCTTTATTTTTGAGGGGCTCAACAGTCCACTACTTGACTGGTAAAGCAATTACTTGGCTTAATTTAGGTTTAAATCTGGACAAGTTCACGCCATTTTGTTTTATCAAATATGGCTTATATATTTAATTAGTACTCCCTTTATCTTTGAGGGGCTCCACAGTCCACTACTGTCCTCCGACTAGGGATACTTACTTGTGGTCCTTTGCACCATGTTACCATGTCGTTTGTTTCATTGTTTTAATCATTAATTATCTATCAGCATCTTTGACTAACAACAAAACAATTTTAGGAATTTCTTTGCTGAGCAAAAAGACCGGACTCAATTATTCAGCGCCAACAACTATGCAAACAAACAACAAAACACTCTATGGAATCCACAATAACTCTGAGCGGTATTCCCTGTTGACGTGGACAATAACTGTCCTAATATCATCAGTAATCGGAGACAGCATCATTCTGGTCACCAGCATCAAGTACCACGCAATTAAACTGAAGGAGGTTATCGTGGTGGTCATACAGCACCTTGCAGTATGTGATTTACTGATAGCTATCTTCATGGTGCTCCCTACAACTATAGCACTGATCGCTGATGATTGGGCTATGGGTGATATTCTGGGACATGTTGAGGTACATATCCCCAACACATGTTACCCAGCTACCAGACTGCTGACTTGTGCCATGACAATCCTGAAGCTGCTACATTTGAAGTATCCCCTCAGAACGACTGGCTGGTCGAGTAGGTTTGGACACAAGATTTGTGGAGTAATGTGGATACTGGTGCTTTGTATCTATGCGCCCTTTGTGGTGGCCTTTATCTTCTGTTCAAAAGACACCAATACGGTCCAGTTTGATTACGTGTCATACGCGTGCTTCTACAGTTACTTCTCCGCAGACGCCCCAGAATGGTTGAAATACTACAACTTGATTTACATAAGTCTTGCAATCATAATCCCATGTATAATACTTCTAGTTACATCTGTGCTTATCTTGGTTCTAGCGAAGATCTCAGCAACCCGTCACGGAGGAACACTAAGATGGGAGGGTGTCATTACAGCACTGCTAACTGTGGGGGTCCTGTTTGTTTCCTTTCTGCCTTATTGTGCCACCTTCATGGCATGGAACCTGGGACAGTTCAACACCACAGTCTATCGAGCAACACACTTCCTGAACTTTCTCAATATCATGGCTAACTTCTACGTGTACTCGCTGACTGTGGGAAGCTTTAGAAGCTTCTTAAAACTGAAAATATCAAAACTTCTCCGCCAAGTTTTACCATCTACAAGTATAACGCCTGCTTGTAGGTCACAGAATCAGTTTCCTTCGAGTCCAGCAGTTTTGAGGCTGGGGCTACATCCTCCTCTTTCTACAGGAGGAAGACAAGAGCAGCTTTCTGTAAAGGACTAGGATAATGGGAAAATGCGCACTATTTGTATATCAGCGTAAATATTATGATTCGTTACAAACGAATACTCTTACATTATCTCAACAGGATTACTTGTTGAAATCAGTGAAATAAATTTGATAGTTTCTTAAAAACAGGATTACTTGTTGAAATCAGTGAAATAAATTTGATAGTTTTTGGTAAAAATTGTCAAAAAAGTGATTAAGTAATATGTGAACGACCCCTTAACATTCACTTTCAAAAGCTCCCGCTATCCCCAATATTCTACCTGATATATTGAGGGCACGTTTTGGGTCGAAACCAGGCGGGAACTCAACTTCAGGTAGTCGTCGTTTCTGTTCATCACAGGCCATGATCCAATGATATGACACTGCTTTTACGCCTTGTTTTATCGCTTGTTCTATGTTGGATTCTTTCATCTCCTTCGTACCTGGGGACAGATACGGGTTACCCACAATAACAACACATTCCATGCATTCCATCGAGAAAAAGATATGTCCCGAATGGTGAAAATATGGAAGATTTGGGACACAGGAAAATTGTATCTTTTAATTAGGTGATTGTTGAACAATTCTTAGTTAAACAGATCTCAACTTTTTTCCACTTTTCGAAGATTGATAAAATAACTATAAAATAGATAAATAAATTAATGAAATAAAATGTCAGTAAGTAAAGCTCATACTGCATATGACGTGAGTACATGATCTGTCTATGTAAGTTTTGATAACAGCTCCGTTACGTCGAGCTAACGATTTCACTCCGACACTGGAACTTCTACTTGCTTGTTCTGCTTCACTACTAGTGTCACCTGAATAGAAATATCATATTTCGGCTTCTTTGACGCCGTTCATCTAAATCACCTCCCTCAGATTAATGCATACTATCAATAAAGGTAGGTTATTGTTATTTTCGTTCCAAAAACTGAACAAATCATTCAAGAGAGAAGAGACTTTAGCGCACTTTACGGCATTCCTATTTCCTGGCAGTACTTTTTTACTAAAATACCTATCACCCCTCACTATTTCTCATGTCACGTTTAAAACATTAGGTATCTAGATAAATTAAGAATATCGTTAGTCCTTACCCCGCCAAGCACTTTAGAAGGTGGAGCGGTTCTCTTCATGGCGTTAGCAATGTTCCTCTTATAAACAGTGTTCAGACTACTGATGGTGGTGTCGTGGACGGGAGCTGGTGATTCTAACGCTTCCATCGCTGCTTCTACCTAGGTCACGTAGGAGTCACAAACATTAGGTCACGTGGGAGTCACAGACATTAGGTCACGTGGGAGTCACAGACTTTAGGTCACGTGGGAGTCACAGACATTAGGTCACGTGGGAGTCACAAACATTAAGTCACGTAGGAGTCACAGACTTTAGGTCACGTGGGAGTCACAAACGTTAGGTCACGTGGGGTCACAAACATTAGGTCACGTGGGAGTCACAAACGTTAGGTCACGTGGGGTCACAAACATTAGGTCACGTGGGAGTCACAAACGTTAGATCACGTGGGAGTCACAAACGTTGGGTCACGTGGGAGTCACAAACGTTAGGTCACTTGGGGTCACAAACATTAGATCACGTGGGAGTCACAAACATTAGGTCACGTGGGAGTCACAAACATTAGGTCACGCGGGAGTCACAAACGTTAGGTCACGTGGGAGTCACAAACGTTAGGTCACGTGGGGTCACAAACATTAGGTCACGTGGGAGTCACAAACATTATGTCACAAAGAGTACAGGGACTGAAATAATCTGAGGTTTAGTTCTTGGCACATTTTTCAGGAGCGCTATTAAAGTTACGTAGGCAGACAAAGTACCAAGTGACCAAGTAGATCATATCAAATTTGGTAGTTCCCTGCAGACAATGTCACATACCTTGATCAGTTTGTTTAGTTTTATCTTCATAGGAGTGACGAATCCTTCCTCGTCGTGTTTCAGAACCCCATTCTTCTTGATAGTGACACCGGAGACTCCTCTTGGCATCTGTAAAACATTATGAAATATCAAATGTTTACAAAATACCGGACAAAATTTGATGTTTTCTGGTAATTTAATAAACTTTGAAGACACGCCTAAAAGCTGACATATCCAAATTTAAAAAAAGGATCTCAAACCTCTTCGGCAATCTTTCGGGCACATTCTTCCAGAACCTCTTCCCTCTTCACCTCATTACTTTTCAACATGTCAGTATCTTCATACAACTTGCTGTCTACTTTGGAGACAGTTTCCAGGCAATTGTAAAGCCAGTCTATCTTGACAGCCGGAATGTTCCATTTCATTGCCGCTTTTATCTTGTTGCTTGATTCCAGCTCTTTCCGCTGTGAAAGTTAATAATCCCAATAATCAACAATTTAATTGGTATGTGAGAAATAAATAAAATAATAAACTAGTGTTGAGATTTACAACCCAGGTAGAAAAGTAAATGACAAAAGAAATATTTTTTGGATTTATATATTATATATAAATTATTTGGATTATAAAAATGGCCTCTAGTAAACAAAAAATATTTGCATATTGGTATATAATTCTTATCGCTGCTCGGCACTGACAAACCTTGTATATAATGTGGGTACAGGCGAGACAGTCAGGCATTCTCTTGTGATTTTTTATGGTTTTTTGTGTGAAAGTACCTTGGCAGACTCCTCCCAGCGCTTCAACCAGTTTCACCAAGTGAGCTAGCTCAAACCCTGAAAACTAAACATTTCGTTACTTTTATGGTTTATCTTCTGGTGCAGCTTTGTGCTTAGTCAAGATAAGAACTAAACATAGTAAGTATAGAAAGTAAAACTAGAAAGTAAATCAATAAGATAAAAGTAAACTACACGTTAAACTATCTAATCGTATCACTTATATGTTTTTAACCCAACTCCATTCAGCTACACATTATTATACTGGATCACACTATCACATCACCCGACGGCTGACACCCAGGCATTTAAGGTGATGCCCACGTGATGCCCACGTGAATGACATTACATGCCGATACCGTATAATTAACTAGTAGAAACTAATATATAACCTGAGTGTAGCAGATAACACATCCCCTCAGCACGTGACACGGGTTGGGCACGTGGCGGGGTGAGAACAGTATACAATCAGACACTGAGAGTATCACACCTGCTTGGATACACCTGGGGGAATTATCACCTTGGTAACAATCAAATAGGCAAATTAAATCAGGAGATCTTTCTTAGGGTATATTGTAGCAATTTAATGAAATTATGGATGTGAAATATAATTATTTCCCTTGATTGCACCTATTCGCGACCATAATTTCATATAAACAGCAGTAAAGTCCAATAAAAAAGAGCACGTGTGTACCTCTGTAACCACATGTAAGTCACGTGTGTTTTATCAGGACAACAGGGAGGTTGTTCTTGGAAGGGGTCCACCACGCAGAAATCTATATTATCCTGCCTGCGGGGTTGATATCGTTAAGGTTGGTATCCGCTATGTGGCCTGTTCATAGCCGGTTAATAGCCGGTTAATAGCATGTCCGTGCTGTACGGTGTACCAGAATCCATTAGACCCTTCCGGCCTATATTTAAATTCTTCCATCGGAATTCGGAAAACAATATGAAAAATATTAACACAATATTAACACAATTTTAACACAATATTAACACAATATTGACACAACAACATTGTGCTGATCCGTGTGTTTGTTGATCCACCAATGTATTCTACTCAAATAAGAATAACATGAATAAGATTGTGTTATGAGAACCTGCAGCAGCCCCCGTGAGCTATGATCTGTTGTTGTACATTCCTTGCAATCTTGGTCGGCACGTTCGTTGGGATGTAAAACTTGTAACTTTTGAACAGGTCCGACTTTATTACCATCTGAAGAATTTGGGGGATTTAGCGAGCAGGGATTTAGAGCTATTTCGGGCATTGCTCGATTTATTAGTACAGTAATTCTTTAGTTCAATAAAATTAGGAAGCGTCTTCGCCTACGCAGAGTAATATAACCTATATTTATTATATTGTAAGAAAATAATATCACGTGTTATCACAATGACACACCGATGCGTTTTGAGCTTGAGTCCTATCAACAGCAGCTCCGGTTGTATCGTTAGTAGTGACAGAGGCAGTGACGTCACCGGATGTCATGGTGACGTCACGAGACAGAACTGTGACGTCACGAGACAGAACTGTGACGTCAGAGTTTGTGTTGGTGGTGCGGTATTGGTCGAGTATCGAGTCACTTCCGCTCTGGAATGAACAGATGATGTTAACATTGTTATATAAATCTGATACTTCCGATTAAAAAGCAGCTGAACTCATATTAGCGACAAGAGAAACGCCATTGTTGGACGTGAGGAGAGTGAGGACTCCTCAAACTGCATGAAATTAATTCCTTCTGTAACGTCCTGAATAAATATAGTTAAGAAAACAAAATTTACTAAACATTTTAAAACATTACTGAACACCAACAAATACATAACTTTTCTCGATAAATTGCAAGGATTATAAATTACCGAAGCCATTTTTAGTAATTTCCTATTACGTAATTTGGTATAAGCACTTCACAATTAACTTATTCCTGTTCCCTTAAATTCTGTACCTGGTTGGTTGGTCTGACAGGTCTGATGGTGGGTAGAGGGTTGTCAGGAGTCACGTGATCAGTGGTGGGTACCAGGTCGTACTTGTGTTCCGGCTCCTGAGCTCCCTTCTCCATGGACCTGATCAGCCAGTCAGGTGACAGAACCGCAGCGTCAGGGTGCAGTGATACCAGGTTCTCTATCTGCAATATTTAGTCACAGCTGGGTTGTAGTTTCAAATCTAACTTAAAATATTCTTTTGGTGATCTTAAAATAATTGCCGGCGATTTTGAGAGCATCTTTGGTCAAGAAAATGGCAGTATTAATTGGCCCTAATTTGTCGTAAAACTAGAATTATGATTTCTTAAAATACGAAAAACTGGAAAATCTAACATGACCAGATCTTCTATGAGAAGTGCACCCAGCGGCCTAGCGGGCAGCAGTTTTGAACTTATAATTTAGTATTATTGTAATGTGATGTACCTCCTTTAGGATGGTAACTTTAGTAACTATATGAGTGACTCTTGTAGACAGTAAATCCAGTCTCATCCCACCGCCGTTGTTCACTATCTTCTTTAAAGTCTCCTGTTCCAGTGCCGAGAAACCAGATAAGAAGATCCTGCAGCCCTCCAGATATCCCTGCATAGTGAAGCACAGTAAAAAATACCCTGGGGAATCAGTAAGACCCTCTAGGCCTAACACAGCCATGGGTCCTGAAATCTACAGTTCACTTCCAGGAGCGTGGGAGTTGTTGGCAAGGTCACGTGTTTCCTTCAACATGGGTCGTGCGAGGTAGGACAATTTTGACACCATACCTTAAGAATTGCAAAATCACAGAAACTATAAAATAAGGAAGAATCACAGCTACCAAAGAAAACATCAGCTCGTACCTTGTCCTTGTTAACTGTCACGTCGAGGTCGAGGTTATGCAGCTGCCTGAGGATGCCTCCCTCCCCTCCAGGAGCGTGGGAGTTGTTGGCAAGGTCACGTGTTTCCTCCAACATGGGTCGTGCGAGGTAGGACGCGTCTTGGGTCTGTTCTCCTTGTCGGAGGAGTGCTGGTACTCCTTTACATCTAAACATACTCCCTGGGTTGTGAGGAGACGTGTACTGTGTAGTGGATATTTTTCGCAAATTATTAAATTATGTTAACAACTTTAGTTGACACTTTAGTTAAAAGGGATTCAAAATTGAGAGACATTTTTTGATCTAAAGAAACGATTTCGAATTCCCACCTTTTTAATACTTTCGTAGAACCAAGCTGATCTGACACAGGGTATTTTCCACTTCATAGCAAACTCGAACTTATTACCAGAATTACAGTCTGCTATAAGGTGAGTACACCTGAGGGAATGGTTATTGATGAGATCTAGTTACAAGGTGTAGTGCCTGGTAATGATATGGTAACTAACATTGGACAATAGGCAACAACCATGACACGCAACCTTTTTCAAAACACAATGCAACAAGAGCCATTAAGTGACCCAAAGGTTTTGTGCGTAAACCGTGCCATAAAGAGACCACCAACCCTTTAGCCTTAACGCAACCTCTTAATCTGTCCACCCACCCCAGCCCACATTATCCAGATCTACTCACTTCTCCATGACCAGGTCCCCACTGTAAGTACCACCATGTTTCTTGGCCAGCTGCTCCACCTCGGATCTCTGTCCCACGTCCAGCCCAGTAACGCAGATCGTACAGCCCCGAAACGGTAAACATTTGTACTCTTCGATCCAACTCCGGTCATTTTTAACAACCTGCAGCAGATGGTGGGATGTTAGTGCGGTAGTGTTAGTGCGGTAAATGTAATGTTAGTGCGGCAAATTATTACGGTCGGAGATACTAATGAAAGGATCATAATATTGTTTATCATAATTCGAGTATTAATACGCTAATGCTGGAATTGGAAATCTGTTCAGAGATTAAAATTTAGTAGTATCAATAAGGTTTGTAAGACCTTGTAGGCCTACCTGCAACTTAGATTTATCCCAAAGAGCAGAGATCCAATCCGGGGTCATTATTGGGATTCCAAGTTTGGCTGCGTACTGGTACTTCTGGAATAAAATTACTGATTAATAATAGGGGGGGGGGGGGGGGGGGGGGTACTGGTACTTCTGGAATAAAATTAATGATTAATAATTATTATTTTTATTAATAATTGATTATTTGTACTTTGTGTTTTTAGATAACAGTATTATACATTTTAATTGCCCAATACCCAAATTAATCAAGGACCGACTGGTACCGCTTGTTTGGCCGGGACCAAAACCAGGACTGGGATTTAGACTGGGATTTTGAGTTATTAAAATGTAACTAACAATCAAGAACAAAAATAAATAGCGGTATGTGAGGAAACGAAATTTTTCACATTTCCCGCAAAAAACGCGGTTTAGTTATCTCAGTTTTTGTGACGATTCGTAAGAATAGTAAAAGTAAATAATATTTAAAACGTACCATACTGCCCACTTCGTCCACCACAAGATGAGTTACGTCTGAAGTGAGGGCTGTACTTATATTCCCTCCCATCGCTGCTACCTGGGATCATATGAGTAATGTTACCTTGTATTATATAAAGGTCACTGATGTACACTATGTAGCCCCTTTTATTTAACCAATGACTGGTGCAAGAATTGTTACAAATCTTATTGAAACGTGCTCAAGTTCACAATATCATCAGCTCATGCAAAATATTCCACATAATAATAATATCTAATCATAAAACCAGACACCGAGTAATTCAGAACACGTATGAAAAAAAAAGAAGAAAAGTTGAGTAACCTGTTTGTAGAGTATGTCACGTGTGTCCTTGTCAATGTTACTGCAGCACACTCTGCTGCCGTGAAGGGAGAGGGAGAGTATGTGTTGTCCTTTTTTCAATCGCCGAGGTAGCAGGATCTGCCAGCAAGGTATGTTGAGTGGGGCAGGAATAACAGGATTGTGGAAATTATAAGGTATTGGGATTGAAATAATATTATTAATAGTCATAATATTATTATTCAATGCTGTGTGGGTTTGTAGTATCAAATACGTTGCAACCGAATGTAATTATTGCAAGTTAATTAACAATACTCTTTTAAACTGATAGCTAAAATAGCGAAGAAGTTCATCACATAAATTATCTTTTGATATCTTTCGTGAGTTTCGCCATGAATTGCAGCAAGCATTTAAAATAATTGTTATTTTGAACAAAACAGTTTTGCAAATAAATCGCAAAATAAAAACATCAAACAACCTCTTGTTTTATAAGGAAGATGATAGCTGCCGGACCGATGATAGGAACCCCCTTCTCCTTGACGGTATCAAAAGTCTCACCCTCGAAGAAGGGTACTAAGTACAGCTCTACAGCTGATACTGTGTTCAGACAAGACACGTGAATTAGAGGACATTCTATCTTGAGGCTCTGAGGAGATAAGTAATTTGTTAGTATGTTCAACTTAAAGTAATTAGATGTAAAATATACTACGGTATGTAATATACAATATTTAATTTAACGCCATATTACGTTGAGTGATTTTAAGGAACTATAAATTGGCCTGACAAATAAACCCCAAAAAGCTACGCGATAACTGATCGATCAACCAATAAATTAAGGGATCATAAATTAATAAATTAAAAACCTGTCTGACAAGAAGAGCAGCCTCCTCTAGGAGAGCACTATAGTTTGTAGAATCAGTTACAGCAACTACATTCTTACAGTCCATCCAAACTTCTGCCTAGACTCAGATTCACTTCTTCTCCTCCAACGAGCTTACATAATTCTTACATGCTTTTGAATAAATGGGGAAGTTTAAGTTTCAAAGATAAGATTTGTTTTAAAGTTACACAGCACTTTATCTGCTCTTTATTTTGGGTCTTCCGACTTCGAGAAATTTTGTCAACATTGAGACTTTGTAATCTTTATCACAATAAAAAACAACTTTTGTTCGAGAGATAAAATGATAGCCCAGCGCAAAGTGCTAGCTTAGACAAAATTGCAATTTTGTACTAAAATAAAACATTAAAATGATTTAGATTAAATATTCTGAACCCGTGCACCAAGCTCAACAAGGGGACCACAAACAATATATAGGAAACAAGGGTCCTTTCAAAAGAAGCAGTTACCGTGGTATAATTCATCAGGACTAAAAGTTGTAAGGTTTTTGTCATTTGTATGATTTCAAGCTGTAAGGCCAGATTTACTTCTTCCTAATTTTTGACCTATTCTCATCAGTTTCAGAGTCTCTTTCCCTCACACCATTAGCCTTTGTCTTGGGTGAGACGTCCTGCTTTACCTTCTTCTCTGCGCTCTTCCTCTCTCCCTCCTTCTTCAAATCATCATCCCTCCTCCGCTTCTTCTCCGAATCCGTCTCATCCCTCCGTTTCACACTATCCGCTCGTTTGTCCTTACGCGCGGGTGAACTGTTGCGGGACGCGCTATTTTCTGTGCTCTTCTTTTCCACGTGATGGAATTTCTCCTCAGCAATGAACGTATTACGACGAGAGTTGAGCTGGGCAGAGTATCCCATAGCAAGCGCATACAGATCTGGTCGCACTGTCTTCTCCTCCTCCTTCACCTTCAGAATGCGCTTCTCCAGCGCCTGCGCCAGATTGAGCACAACAGGAAACTCCGGGAGGATCTTATTAGGACCGTCAGTCCGTTCCTGATCTGCGAGTAGTCCTTGGAGTCGAAACAGAACACCATGGCCTTCGTCAGCTTAAAGTGCCACTTGCAACACACATGTCGGAAATTTTCGTAGTCTAGATACTTTTCTATTTTCTTAGCACCGTCGCTGTTCGGGTCTCCGCGTATGATGTGGACGAAACCGGGGGATTTCCCACATTCCTTCTCGTAAAGAGCCTTGTCTTTGTGCCATCTTGAGATTCCTTTAAGAGTCTCACAAAGGAACCTTCCGTACCTTGTGATGGAGAAATATCCTCGTAAATTAGCGGGTAGATTGGACACAAATCATTTCAACATGTAAAATAACAACTAATTAATTAATTAATAGTCTAAATTTAATAGATATTCAGTAGTAACTAGAGAATGTAATACTTCATATTCTTACCTGCTAGCCTCATTATCAGTGCAGTTAGTGACAATGTGGGACACATCTGAGAAGATCCTATCAAAGTAGATGAGAGTTGAAAAGTTTGAAGCCTGCATCTTGTGACATAACTCTACAAACTTGGCGCAGTATATGGCGTCACTAGCTGTGAACATGGACCGCTGGATTATGCACACTTGCAGAAACTGAAAGAGAGGTTATTATTTAAAATACACTTATTATCCACTGTCCTGACCTGCCTCAGATGACAGTGTGACAGAAACTGAGCTATAATGGACCAGTACATGGCAGTATCTCTTAATACTTATACAATATACAAGACCCACTAGATCCAATGTGCCAATTAATTTGACCTCTAATCGACCTATCATTATAAACAGTGTCTTTAACTCTAATCTCGAGAACACAATATCTAGTACCTGCATAATAGCATCTACTTTGGTAGAATTGGTGCTCGCAAACCAAATATCTTTCTCGGACTCTAACCGGGCCAAGACCAACTTGTGGTTGACTTCCTGAGACTTGTGCTCTTCTTTTAGCTTGCTTATCAAATCCTTGTGTCGTTCTACCTCCTTATCTTTCCTTCGTTGAGCTAAGTCTTCGTTATCGTTTACCTAGTAAATTCAACAAATAGGGAAGCTGTTCTTCAAAATGATCGATAAAGAAAAAGTTTTTAAATACATTATTTTCGATTGCTTCGCTGTTTCAGTGGTAATAATTAGAAATATTATTAATAGCTATTGCAGTTGTGTTGGTAACGGTACTTTTATTTTCACTAAGAATAAGTTGTATAATTGAATTCATATCACCTTCGATGTTATTACTTTATTAGTTAACAAATCGCTCTACAAAGTCGTGAAATTATCGTATAAATTGGTTAATGATAGCAGGAGTTTTGTCGGATCGCGAGATCGTACCTGTTTTATGGCGCCCTCTATCCGTGCAATTTCACCAGTATATCTATTTGAGGGTAAGATGATGTCGGGTGAAGCCAGAGACCAGAATGTGGCAAATAGTCGGGGTGAAATCTTGTCCCACACTTTAGGAGGATACAACAACTTTACCTGTAATCAATTACATTTAACTAGGAGGATACAACAGCTTTACCGAGGTATAACATTTTGATAACATATAACTAGGGGAATTCATAATTTCTAGTGGACGATGGAATTAGAATAGTAACAAAGTCACTCCAAAGTATACTCCCAGCACTAGAATTAATTTCCAATTATTTGACGTAAATTAAAACCCCGAATAGCCGGACCAAAATAAATTAGGCGACAAAGGGGCCCGACAACGCGACATAATGCAATTAAGGTTATATACGTAGGCCCTCTAAATTATAGAGCCTCACCTGGTCGCTGAGTTGAGATATGACTTTTTCTGAAGCATCAATGTAGGGCTGTGGTTCATCTGGGGAGCACTTACTTCCACACTCGACCCTTATCTGAGGTTTTATTAGTTTAGTTGAATACTTTCTAAAATGTCTGAGCACGAAAGATGCCGCAATATGTATTTTATATATTGACTGCATTATTTCCAATATGAATATGGTTGTTTCCTTTGTATCCCCCCTTTTGTATGTAATTGTGTAAAATTTAATTTAATAAAATTGATAACGTAGTGACCAGGAGGTGACCGGGATTCCCGGTTCCGGGAATCCCGGTACCGGGATTGGCAATTTTGAGCTATCCCGGTCCCGGTCCCGGTCCCGGTCAATCACTCAAATTTGCCGGGATTTTGACCGGGATCTTTTACATAATTTCATTCACTGTGATTTTAAGTTTTTCCTTTCATTCATTGTGAATTTCATCTTTAAACATCCTCTGAGCCAAATACAACAATGTTTAAAATTGCTAAACAAGTTTGAGTAATAAATTATGATCATGAATTAACCAGTAATCGACCGGAATTCACCCTGATTTTTTTGTGAAACTTGTTTTCGAGATAGCAGTTGACCAACAAACTAGGACCAGTGACCAAACTTTTGAGGGGGTCCCGGACCCCAACCGCCAAACGGTGCCCGCGGGGCAGCCACGCCCATATTTGGTCCAAATTAGGCCCAATTTAGCCAAATACCCTGAACATTCCCAAAACCCCAGATTTTAGGTGCTCTACTAGTAGCTAGTAGTCCCCTGAACTCGTATATGAATTTTCATCAAGATTGGACAAAAAATGGCTGAGTTATGAGCCAAAAACCATATGCCCATATTTGGGCATACGCAGCAATATTGGTCGATTTTGGCCCATAAATTGCATTGGTCAAATATCAATATTTTTGAATAAAACCCCCCCCCCCCCCCCCCCTTAATGCATTCATTACAAGGGGTGACTTTCATAATTCTAAACCATGATTGACCAGCTGACGACGATTAACACATGTTTATTGAAAGCTTCTACAAGTTAACTCATCGTATCTCTTATATGTTTCTAACCCAACTCCACTCAGCATGATGACCTCGCAAATGACCTCGGATGTTCGGTCATTATCACGCACCTACACGTGAGAGCCAAGTGATGATAGCCGAACATTCGAGATCATTTGCGCGGCTGGAGGAGTAATAGGTATGACTTCAACATTACATTATAACTTAATTACCTCGCTCTGTGGAAACAGGGACAAAAGGATTTCGCGGCGATTTTGGCCAAATTTCGCGATACCGCGAAATTTAACAGGCTATACATTAAACTATACATAAAATTTGTCGCGGAGAATGGGAAATTTCGCGATTTCGTACATGCCGCGAAATCCTTTTGTCCCTGTGTGGAAAGGTCAGAAAATACAAAAGTTGCTGCTTTTGCATTTTATCTTCAAAATGTTGAACGTATTATCTCATTGCAAATGTGTCAGTTAGCAAAGACGGGGGAGGGAGGGAGAATTCAGCGACAAATAAACCTAATATTCGCCAATAAGTTATGCCAATTATAAGATAATAGATATAATATAATAGCAAATTTGATGGAAAACCATATTTTAGGATTACCTAAAAGATGATTGATAGTTGTAATCAAAATTTCTAGTAAACCCCCGCCCCCCCCCCCCCCCCCCCCCCCTCCTCCCCACTCCAGAAAATGATGACTTAACATGAAATTTTACACCACCGAGTACAATTTTATTTCTCAACAGGGTTAGTGTCTCTGCTAGAGCTTTGTAATAATCGTCAGGCGTTCAGATGTTGCAGTAGCTTATATACTTTAGTTTGTTTGCACATCTGCATCAGGACCTTGTGGCAACCTGGTTATCACATGATGGTCAGTCGATGCACTCTGTGGAGATACTCCGGTTATTTGCATCATTCAAACCTCATAATATGTCTTAGTACTATTGATCAATTTTTAAAGTGAAATTCCAAAAATGCTGATCCAACTAGTTTGTTATTTTGTTAAAACCCTGTTAGGTGAATGTCTTTTTAAGCTAAGAATAGTTTCAAAAAATGAGGGGGGGGGGGGGGGGGGGGGGCAACCATATTAAAGTATATTAAAATGTAGGGTTTTTTCCAATTTTGACCCGGGATATACTTTAATATGGTTGCCCCCCCCCCCCCCCCCCCCCCCAATTATATGGAATGTCTTTTTTATGCTAGTTAAAACTCAACCATTCATAAGCAATGACCATGGTAAAAAGGGTAAAAACTTTGAAGCCACCCCCTCGAAGTAAAGAAGCATTAGAGAAAGAAAGTTTCGATCGTGGACTGTTGAACCATGCCAAAGATGTGGACATCCTCGATAAAAGAACCCAACTGTTGCGCAATATATGGAGTAGCTACAAAATGAAAAGAAGCATAGAAAAAGCTTCCATTCTTTTAGTTGGCAGTTCGGGCGTAGGAAAGTCCAGTACCATCAACCATCTCTTTGGTCTTTCAGAGAAAGAATCCATAAACTTTGCTAAGACCAGCGATTCAAAATCCGAAACTAGAACAACAACCGAATTCGTGATTGAAGTTGATTCCCCTGAGCGATATGAAACGTCTGGTCTTAGGCTAGGTCTGGTCGATACACCAGGATTTAATGATACAGATGGGACAAAACAGGATGCATGCAACTTTTATTCGATAAAAGAGTTTTACAAAAAACACATGAAAGGAAGTATGCCTAACCTTGTTTTAATCTTGATTCAAGCAACTGACACCAGGATCCAAGGTGAAAACAGTAACCTAGCTAAATCGCTGAGATGCTTAAAGTCTTTGAAGCTTATAGATACTAAGTTTCCTAATGTGGTCGCTGTATTGACTTGGAGTACTGCACTGGGTGAAAAGAAGACAAAATACACCAAAAATATCTCCAGAAAGAAGGAGATAGTAAAAGATACCATCTTCGAATTTCTGAACGTCCAAGTTCCAGTAGTTGCCTTGGAAAATGACTTGGAAGATCTTGATAAAGATGGGGATTTCACAGTTTTGCCAGACGGTACAAGGCAAGTTAAGAACTTGTACAAGATTTGTCAAGAGGTCCTGAAAAAAAGTGGTGACTTCTACGGTCATCTTATTTTCAATGAAGCCTTCCAACTTGGCAAGAAGAACGTCACCGTAGGAAACAAGACAGAAGCTAAGAATGCACAATCCAGCAAATTATCCAAAGACGAAACCGAATTCTTCGAATTCTTCTCACACGCTCTCGCTGGGGGTACTCCGGATCCGCTTGTACAGGAAGCTACGAATTTCATCAAAGATGAAAACATAATTGAAAATGAGAATGTTGCTGAGATTCAAGCTCTTGTAGGGTCTCTGAAAAAGATGGGTGTTCAAGAGTTGAGCGAGTTGAATGTCATTTCAACGAAAGGAATACAGTTAAAGCATCCTGAGGATGTTTCCTGTACTGGAAAAAAGTTTCTGAAGAACATAGGTGTCAAAGACACCACTTATCATATTGGCCAGGATTCGGCAAGTGTCATTGCCCAGGGATATAATATTCTCAACGACACTGTCGTACCTAGCCAGATATTTTCCTACAAAGAAAAGGATACAAAGTATGGCATAGCTATTCCAGGGTTGGCGCAACTGAAGCCGGTCAATGAAACACAGACATTCATGTTTTCATATGACACCAAGACAAAACTAATTCACGACAGATTGGCTCATCTAAATGTCTCCCTAAACGTGGACGTCAACAAATTTGCTTTCTCGGGCAAAGCTGGTTTCAATCTCTCCTCCTCGACTGAAACAGATTCACATTCCCAAGAAATATCCTTTTATATGGAAGAGAGGCTTTTTGAACTAAGCATGGGCAATTTCAAAGATCCGGGGATAGTTTTGACAAAAGATTTTACTGATGCTGTCAAAGAACTTCCTGGATCTTTTAACGTTGAAGATGCCAGTGGTAGATCGAAGTTTCAACGATTCTTTGATCGCTGGGGTCATTTCGTTGTTACCAAAGTAATTGGAGGTGGTGCCGTAGAACTGCGAATTAACACTTCCTCATTTGGAAGCCAGTTTCGTGACACCAATGCAATCAAAGGATCCTTGGTTGCATCTTTTAGCACTGGCTTTTTTGACACCGAGGCTTCTGTTGAAGGCAGTGATGAATCAAGAAAAACATTGAGCGCACGACAAGTTTTTGAATCTACTACCGTGAAATGGAGCGGGGGAGCGAGAGAGTTTCACAAGAAAAGCACTGTTGGTGACGAGCATAAAATGGACATATGGAGGAACTCACTCATAACAAGTCCTACAATGTTGACTACCGACATGTACCTTGAGCCTATTTCAACTCTAATCCAGTTAGCAGATCCAAGTAAATATGATGCTGTTTATGAGAGCCTCAAAGATTTTTTGGGGGGAAATTTTGATGTGGTCGCAAAGAGGCAAAAAGACGCTAAGGAAGCTGAAAGGAAGCGCAAAGAGGATGAGGCTGAAGCCGAAAGAAAACGAAAGGAAGATGAGGCTAACACAAGGGCAGAAGCAACTGAAGAAACGCCCTCTAACGATGGCGGCTCCTCTTGCATTGCTCCAGATTCAAACGCAGTTGTGATGAGGAACGGGGTAGAAATGACCCTAAAACTTAAGGATCTTGTTATAGGAGATCTGATTCTTTGCTATGACATTGGAAATAAAATCCCAACTTTTACTAAGCTTATTCTTTCTGTCCACGCCAACTTCCACACACCAACGAAATATTTCCATATTAAGCTGGAAGATGGCTCTGGCATTAAACTAACAGGGGAGCATCTGATTCTAGTTGGAGAAGGTCACAAAGCAGTCATGGCAAGAGATGTCGAAGTGGGCGACTTGCTTTACAAGAGAACAGCAGGATTTTTGAAGGTTCAGAGAATTACCCAAGTCACAGAAAAGGGCTTGTGCTGCCCAATTACGGAAGTAGGGAACATCATGGTAGATGGTATTTTAGCAAGCTGCTATGCTAACATATCAGACTTCTGTGTGTTTGGAAGAAGCTTCATCTCTGCACAAACTCTAGGACGAATCACAATGGCACCCTTTACAGCATACAGAAAGATTTCGAAAGACAAAGGAGGGAAGATTGTTGAATCTGATAAGTTTCACCCATATGTTGGTTTCCTCTTCAAGGCTTTACGCCCCTTCATAAAGTACTAGTTATGGTTATTGACATTAACAAATGACTGATGACTGTTTATTATTGCAATCATTTGAAAAAATAGAAGACAATTATTTTGATTTTGCGGACAATTCTTTTGATTTTTCGGGTGCCATTGTTATTCAATTTTGTTATGAAAGGAATAACAATGCAAACTTAACAGAATTTTGTCCTGCCGTTTTAATTTTAGTGAGTAACTTACTCTAATACTCTGGTGATTTTTATTTCTAGAAAAGCTTCTTCGTCTTTTTGTCTATGTAGTGTGTGCAATGAGCATGCTTTCCAAAATCTTTACTCCAGTATGGCTGTTACATTTATAAATTACAACTATAATCAATAATTTTACTGCATGATTTCCAATTCGGTCGTTTTATTTGTGTGAATAACAATAGTTAATAATAATAGAAGTGTGAAATTTTATTTAATCAAAGTTATATCGAAATAACCATGATCCAAACGTATTTGAAATTTTGCAATAAGAATTAGTGCAATAAGGAAGGATATTAAGATGAAGTTGAATTTGTTATAATATATGTGTTATAAGATTATTGATTGTCATATATATATATATAATGTATATTAGTACAGCTTATGTAAGAAGGTGAAGAAGAAAGAACAGGAGATCCAACGAGAAAGGAACGACAGAAGGTGTGTTGAAGTAGCAGTGTCTAAACTCTAAGTAGTAGATGTACTAGCCTGTGAAGTGGATAGTTCGGGAATCGGGGAACACCGGTAAGTCCTAGTCTAGCTTTCATCTCTTATATAGTTTCATGATAGTTGTAGGTTTATATATTTCTTATGTTACAGATGATGCACATTTATTGTATTACTTATAAATCATATTTCAGGTGTTTTTTAGTATTGTAGTGTAAGTGTAAAGGAGAGAAGAAATAGGAACAACTAGTAGGAGTCTAAGCAGTAAGCATCAAGATAATAAAAGAGAGTAACCTAGAAGAACAAGGAAGTGTATTTTGTAGGGGGTGGTGATCATAATATTTTACCTGAAGTCTCATATGTGCTAGAGAAGACTTTTGAAGCAGTGGATGGAGGACTGTAACTTTATTGGCGGTTGCTACCATAATTTCGTTATAAAAATCACAATTTGGTTATAGAAATCAGATTTAAGGGTGGACCGTGGTTGTGACTTCTCTTGCCCATGAATCAGTGAATCGTAGAGAAGAAAACAATTTATATGTTATAGAAGAAAACGAAAGTAATAATAATATATAATATATATTATAATAATAATATAACTGGTTAAAATTAATTAAAAAACAAACAAATGATGTCATCCTCTCGTCAACTGAAAAACTGTTGTATATGTACACAATTTAAAAATTATTATTAGCGCTCTATCATAATCAGTGCAGGTATAAAACAAATTGCTTGTTAGCAGTTCATGTAATTTAAATTTAAATTTTAAAATCCCTGTAACATCCCTGGGCTTCATAGGTCCTCGAACGGATCCTGTTCCGGTAAACATAGTTTTAATTAGTGATATATTTTAGGAAGTAAAGACTTTTAGTTCAGGTATTATTTAGTGATATTCTAGTGTAGTAGTTTTAGTTTATTGTGGAAATCGGGTGCAGGGTCTAGGGAGGTTAGTAGAAGAGGTCAGTTGAATGTTTTATATTCTAGTGTTACTTTATTAAAACAAACTGTTTCAGTTTAATTTATTATAATTCCGTGTTTTGTTAATTTGTATTAACATCCCCTTTATTAGTGTATTCATTTTAAAGGTTATAAATAGGTTGTAACAGAATTTGTAAGGATCACCTGATCACTGAGCTTGGTTCGGAGAAGGAAGAAAGCGCTGTCTGCTTGGAGATGGTACATGGTCGACAGTTCCTCAAAAGAGGGTAATGTCTTCAGGCTCTGGTTGTTTGTTGGGTTTGTGGTGAGAAACTGTCCAAGTTGCGTGAATGTGTCTTGGCATTGGTCGTACAGTCGGGCAGTCAGCTTAATGTGCCGTTCCTCATCTAAAGCAGAATTTCGTTATCAACGGTCTAAAAAAACTCTTTAAAAATGTGCTTTTCCGCGACATCTTAAGTAAATATTCATAACTCTCTTGCGACTAAATATCGAAATTGGGAAAGTTTGTGATTGGAACTCACTTCCAAAAACAATGGAATGTCTCTGTTGGCTGGCTAGTACACACAGCGGTAACCAGATATCGTTCAACCCCAATGATTCTTGTAGTCGCTGATTACTCCGCTCTGCATGCCTATAGTAATGTCTACTGGATGTCATGTCTTTTGTTAAACAATCAGTTACTAATTTTATAGAAAATTTACCTAATCTTGTGGACGGTAATGAATTTATAAAATGATAATTTACCGGATAGGGGTGAAAAATCCTGCCTCTGCCAACAACACGGGACCCCCGCAAACTGCTTCTAACTGTGATTCGGTTACCTCTTCTGATATCTCTATACCACTCATTCTCTGAATTACCTTAAACGAACCAGTGTTAACTTAATATCCAATGTTCTTATGAAACTAAATTTTAAACAGAATCTACGGCTTCATTCAAGCATCATACTCCAACGGAAAAAAAATCTAAAATCAGCCAGTCTATTAAAGAACTGTTAAGTAAATTGAGCATAACCTCTTTCAAAATGAGAAGATCGGTGCTTTTATTTGCTTTCAGCTGGTTGACGATGTACTGAAGTAATCCAGACAGTTCAATGTTGTACTTTTTGTAGATGTGACCGCAGAATGTCGCCAGTACCTGGAAATGATAGATGGTGGTTGTGAGGCTGAAATGGATGTTATGGTGATCACAATTCATGCAGGAGTGACGGTTGCCAACTGACGTTAAGCCGCCTTTTAGAGTCAGAGTCTCACATGTGCGCGTCACTCTATCGCTAGTTTCCGATGACAAATTCGATCGTTAGCACAATGATACAACTTTCGCGCGTGCCCCGAGGTCCTGAAATTTTGCGACCGTACGAAGTGTCCGAAATTTCCGCTGAAAGCCGCACCTGAAACCACCATGCGATGTTTGTGTCTTCTTCCTTCTGTTTTGCTTTTTCTGGATCCGATAGAGCTTCAATAATACAGTAGGATAAGACATCTAAACTGAGCAACCCTAGATACCTGAAGAATACACCTCGTTACGTAATGAAACCTGGTCGGAAAATATTTTTAAAAACCCCAAACTTAATCGCAAATAAATGCACGATGATGATAATAAAAAGATAAAGCAAATACGTTTCCGAACGAAAGTCTTACTTGAGAGCATTAACAATAGGTATTATAAGATTATCGTATCGTTGTATCTGGAAGAGGATCTGGTCGAATATAACAGCTGGATTACAGTGGGCCACCCTCCCTATCTGCCGACCAAACGGCTTTACATTTTCTTTAGTAAGTCGCTTAAGGATGTACCTACAAAAATGGGTTAAGTTGGAATAACAGTAAGTCTGATCAATTTAATTCGGCGAGTTGAACATTTTAGGTCCATGTGAGAACTCATTTCAATGGTAAAATCAGAAGCTGAAATAATTATCTTTCAACTAAGTTAAAAAGATAGCAAACCGCGATGTGTGAATAGTTTCTGCTTTAGTGACCATTAAAAGGGGATTCTTAGCATAGGACACATTCTTCCACTTGGCGTACAGTCGGTAACGAATGTGATAAGGGAAATGCTGCATGTACTCCCTGATAAATAATATTATTATTAATTTGTTTAGGTTTTCGTCCACTGATAATTAACTCTGCTAACTGCATGCCTCAATATTCTTAATATGGTAACCAAGTGCTCACGGTAAATTGATTTTTAAATCAGAAAGAACTCTCAAATCTATTACATTAAAGCAAATTAATTGTACTGAAATTATGCAAACCAGATGAGGGCCGTGAAGTTATAGTTGAAGTTCATCATAGATAGGGATGGTAGGATGACATCGCTCGTTGTCGTCATTATTTGCCTGAAAAATATTTACTTGCGTGAAGCTACAACCAGAAGTATTTATAACATTTCATCGAAATGTTCATCACTGGAATTAACCAGCATGCATAGACAATTAAAATTTCGATTTCAGGCGTTCGTACAGCAGGGCTAATCTTATAGGACCTGACATGTTGACTATAAGTATTATATATAAAATAGGGCTAATGAACGTAATCTTGACAAGTGAGGATGGTCTTGACCTCGATCAGTCGATTATCGTACTACTAGTACATATAATATAATGAGCACTATACAAATACCTGTAGAAAGTTCTAGAATTTCGAGATTACGCTCTAATCATTATAATATGCCAATATTTACCCAGCAAGAGTGTGGCTGCAAATATCTGCCTTGTTTTCCTTGATAAACAAGTTGAAAAGTCGGAGGATCTTGGTGAAGAGGACGGGGGAGTTGGAGAGGTAAGGTCCGAGTCGGAACAGAGGTGTCAGCACCATGTCACTTAAATCCTCCCAGCAACTCACCTGTAGTTCAATGTTCAGTTCTAGGAAACTTACTAATGATCTTAACGATTGATACTTTGATAGAGGATAATTACTACAGTAGCATACAAAATAAATGTTTTTAAATGGAAAAACCTCTGTAGATCTCGTCAGTAACTATAACTTCAACGGAAAGTAACAAGATTGGTAATTTGCTGGTATGACTTACTTGAGGGTCATTCTCTATCTTCTTCACAGGCCTAACTGAGATAGCTGCTGACACTTTACTTTTGTAAAACTCGTGTATTCTCCACGATATCAGATCAAAAATAACCTCTCTGCCCTGTAAATTTAGCGGCCAATTAGTAAATCTATTACTAATATTACTAATTGGTTTACTAGTCTGGTGGATAAATTTCTATTCATCACTACGCATTTTTGTACAAGTACATAGTAAATAGAAATGGGGACTTGATCATAAACCTCATAGGCTCATAGTACATTGCCAGCAATCTGGACATAATCTGAGAGACCAGCATTCAATGCTTACACTGAACGAAAACATCAAAATTAAAATATATAAAAAATGTATAGTTTAAATGTATAGTTAATTTAAATGTATAGTTTAAATGTATATAGTTTAATTTATGTATAGTTTAAATAGGAAATATGTAGTTAACATAACCCTACTTTAGGATTGTGAGGCACGCTATACGGAGGTATGAGTTGTATCAGGTCATCTGCCTCTAGCCAGCATCCTAACTCTATCAGTGCTACACACAAGTTCACTTTCTGGTTCTCCGGTAGTGCTACTTCTGCTACACCTGCCTTCTTGCTGCTCGACGATTTGGAGTCACTGTTCTCCTCTGCGTCGTCTTTGTTCAACGACACTGTCACCAAGGATTTCGCCTAGAAAAGGATGGGAATTAGTTAAATTGTCGATTGTTAGACCACGATATTGACTTCTGGAAACCGGCTGAAGACCGGGATCCAGTACTGAAGTTGATGAGGGAACTTGAACAATGAAGATTAAACCATTTTAGGTGGAACTATGTTAACTAACCTTCTCTCTAGCGTCACTAAGCCGCTTGTTGTACTCTGTTTTCATCTGGTCGTAACTCGGTCCCAGGTGGGAGTACAGCACGTGCAGATCAATGATACCGCGCTTTATGAGCAGCGCGCCCACTTTGAACAGGGACTCTGGTGTGCCGTCCGGCTCGTTCTGGAATGTACTGTGTAGTTAATTGTATATAATCTCATCATTTGTAAGATATCAAATTTAAAATAGATATTCTTTCTTACGAGTTTCGTATAGGTATCCAGTTAGATGGCAAATATCGACAAAAGATCAGGAACCAAAAGCCACAGCACTCAGCAGCTTTAGAAAATACTTCTCAAAGAAGCAAAATTTGAAATTATAACTATTGGCAATGAATACTTTCAAGTTCGATGTTCAAAAATAAATACTATAACTAACAAAACATAATACGGGTATTTGCCTCACAGAATGGCCAAAAAAAAGGAAGGTCTCTCAAAGTCACAAAACACACTTTATTCCAGTTTTTATCTCATAAGAAGCTAAGTTGACACTCATATTTTTCTTCCCGGGGGTTCATTTAATCTCATAACCATTTTTTCTTTGAGAAAAATTGGCCGGAAAATCTTCCTCCAAAAAAACATGCCTCACAGAATGGCCAAATCTGAATTTCTATAATTTTGTTGATGGAGATACTTTTTAAATTTCTATCACCACACGTTCTTAGAAAACCTATTAAGGAATGGGGTAATAACCTAAAACTCACGAAAAAACTGAGCTGTGAAAAATTATTTCACAAAAAAGAAAAAATGCCTGACAAAATGGCAAAAAAAAAAAGAAAACGAGAAAATTTTATTTTTCTAAAACCTTTGGCTCTTGTTTCAGGCATGCTGCTGGTATTAATATGCCTTGTTAACACCCCCATATAGGTGAAATTTCTTAGAACTGAATAAAAAGGGCATAATTTCCTACACCAAAAATGGCCATTTTGTGTGGCGTTGTTCATATTCCCTGATTTCATGATTTATAACCTTCATTCGGCTGTAAAAACACTCCATCTGGGGTGTTATTGTATAATAAATAGCTTGTGAATACTTTAGACTTATGGTTTCATTGAATAAAAGGAGTTTTAAATTTTGGCCATTTTGTGAGGCATATTTTGGCCATTTTGTGAGGCGTTTAGCCATTTTAACATTTTGTTTCTTCCTAAATTGAACAATGTTCGTTTTGTTTGATGAATACTATTCTTTAAACATCTTCTGTCATACTGGTGCCAGAAGTTCTCACCAAAATGCAAACTTAGTTCAAAAATTTGAAAACAAATTTTGTGAGGCATATTTTGGCCATTTTGTGAGGCGTGTAGCCATTTTAGCATTTTTTTCTTCCTATATTGAACAATGTTCGTTTTTTTTGATGAATACTATTCTTTGAACATCTTCTGTCATACTGGTGCCAGAAGTTCTCACCAAAATGTAAACTTAGTTCAAAAATTTGAAAACAAATTTTTCAGTGCTCAAAATTTCTACATAAACAGTCATATTTATGCCAGAAAATGTGGTCCTAGTTAATGATTTCACCACAGGAAGTGTTGCCAGAAGACTTTTGTTTCATATGGTATCCACAAAACCTACCAGTCTTTTATAAAATATTAGTTACAAAAACATTTACAAATTTGGCCATTCTGTGAGGCTAGCCATTCTGTGAGGCATTTACCCTAACCCTAACCCTAACCCGTAATAATAATAAATTGAAATTTAATAACACCGCTTTTAAGATAAATCTTATACTCAGCAGTGTTTGAACTAGTCATCCAAGAAAATATCATGAATACTGAGCTAAAAAATAACATATGCTTGAAAATATATCGTCAATACTAAAGCCCGAAAATGGTACTTAAATATATTATGCAAATATCGAATTCCAAATATGACCACAATAGTTATCGATAAAGTTTTTCAAGTTCATCTGGTGACATTTTGAAAAGGTAAGTTTTTAGAAAAGTTTTAAAACATTCCAGAGATTGAGCAGAGGTGATGGTAACAGGCAGACGATTGTAGATCTTTGGAGCCACTACAGAGAAGCTACGCTCACCAAACTTTGAATTACAAGAAGGAACAATAAGCTTCAATGAGTGACCATGATGAGCATACTTGAACATGTCCTGCAGATAAATTGGTGCCAATCCTAACAGTGACTTGTGAGATAGTAATAAGATTTTGAAGACAATCCTTTTCTTTACATCTAACCAGTGAAGCTTTATCAGGTCATCATCAAGATGGTCATGTTTATATTTACCAGTGACAGCTTTTGCAGCAGCATTCTGAAGTAACTGGAGCTGATGCAGCAGCTTCTCGCCGATACCAAAGTACAGACCGTTACAGTAATCTAGACATGACACTACTAGACTGTTAACGATGATCTTAATCTGTTTGGGACTCAATAGAAATCTGATTTTTCTGATATTACGTAACGTATGAAAACATTTCTTCTTGAGATTTACGATCTGTTTATCAAATACCAGCTGATTGTCCATTACTAATCCAAGGTTCTTAACAGTAGGCACAGCCGCACAAACATTACCAAAGTGTTAGGAGCTATATCAACGCCATGAAGTTCTATCTCACTGAGCACTTTACTAGGTCCAAAGACTATGAGTTGTGTTTTAGAATCATTCAGTTGCAGGTAGTACTGTGACATCCAATTCTTTATCCTCAAGAAGCAGTTTCTCAGCTGATTGGTTAAGGTTTTGACCTGATCAGAGGGTTTGAAAGATTTCATGATTTGATGATCATCTGCATAACCAATAATGGAGAAACCAGATTCTTTAACACATCTGTACAACGATCTGATATAGATGTTAAAGAGTACCGGGCCTAAAACAGAGCCCTGAGGTACTCCAAATCGGATAGTTATTGTTTCAGAGACAGATTTGCCGAGTCCAGTCCGCTGACAACGTCCTTTAAGGAAGCGTGTGAACCAGCTAAGAGCAGTTCCTCTGATTCCTATTTCTTGCTTCAAGATACGGAGTAACAAAGTATGGTCCACAGTATCAAAGGCAGCACTCAGGTCCAAGAGCACTGAGCATCACCACAGTAGCAGTTTTTTCATCTGCTGCTATTAAGACATCGTTCACTATTTTAATCAAGAGTGTTTCAGTGCTATGGTGTTTTTTGTAAGCAAACTGTTCCTGACAATTAAGGTTATTCCGACTAAGGTGCTCGTTAAGTCTTCTTTAAAACTACTCTTTCAATTAGTTTTCCCAGGAATGTAAGGTTTGAGACTGGCCTGTAGTTTTTCAATATATTCGGATCCTGAGAATCATCTTTTATTAGCGGAATTACATCAGCTAGTTTCACACCATCCATACTTCCTGATGACAGCGATTGGTTAACTAGATCAACCCATACATGCAACAGAGAAGTGATATTATCTTTGACAAGATCTTGTGGTAAGACATCATTAGGTGAACAATTAATTCCACTTTCTTTGATTATATCTTCAAGTTCAGAGATACAGGTTGGCTCAAATTCAAAGAGAGGTGTTGCATTAGTGTCAGAACAATCGGGTATTGGGGAGGCTGGTATGTTATCTCGAATCTTTTCAACCTTTTCTGAGAAGAAATTGTTGAAGTCAGAGGCGAGCACTTCAATATCTTCAGTGTAGTCAGGTAGAATTCTACTTTGTTTACGATCCAATACCTTATTTACGACTTGATAAAGAGTTCTAGTTTTATTCTCCGATTTTTTAATAACAGCTTCCACGAAGTCCTTCTTTTTAGTATTAGCAAGTGCAGTAGCCTCATGACAAAGATCTTTGTAATGAAGAAAGTGTTCCTCTGATCTATTTTTCTTCTTTTCGGCTAAACGACGCAGTTTTCTCAGATCTCTATAATCCTTGTCAAACCATGGGGCTGTGTCCACCACAGAAACTCTTTTGCTAACTAAAGGAGCATACTCATCAAGAAGGTTTGCTATAGAGGCACCAAGAGTCATTACAGAGGTCGAGAACGATCCCGATAAACTAAACTTATCAATAACATCGTTCAATTCACATGAAAAGGCATCCTTGTCTAAGGCCTTAATATCTCTGAATTCAATCGATTTGAAATACTTCTTACCCAAAGTGTTGCTGATGTTACAAATTATAGGAAAGTGATCTGAGCCCAGTGTGTCGCTATTGTCAATAAACACATTATTGCAATGAAGATGGTTGTTCAGTGAGAAAGTAAACAACCGGTCAAGACATGCACCCCCTATATGTGTTGGGCGATCATACTGAGAATGAAAACCATATGATTTAAGTATTTTGAGAGTGTCAGACGCAACTCTATTATTACTAAGTTAATTGTGTTAGTGAGAGCTAGAGCCTTATCTACAAGTACACTGACTTGTTATCAGAACTTATGAACTTTAATATGTTATGTTCACTTTCGTTATCTACGTGGTGATACAGTGTAGTTTTTACATAGTATGTATTTTAATTTGGTTTAAGTGGTGGCCGTTGTATTCTATAAACCGTTTTTAACGAGTTTTTTTACGATGCAGTATTTTGTGAGGAGATTTAGGCAGCATGAACTGTGGCTCATATTTTATTATTTAAGCTGCTCTACGAGCACACACGCTAGCTAGTTGGTTTTTAGATAGTTAAGAGTATTAGTTACTTAGTTAGTTAGTGTAAATTAGTATCAGTCAGGATCTGTTAGCACACAGAACTGTTAGTTTTCGCGAAGCAGGTCTGACTTTCATATATATTCTTATAGTAGACTTCGTCATATAAATTTATTTTGAACTTAGTAACAATTTCAGGGGAAAAATAGAAATTTAAGATTTCATTTCTATTCTAATATTCACGTATATTAAATACAATTATATTGTTATGTATCATATGATTTTGTAAACATTGGCCGGTGTACCAAAAACCGGTCCCCAAACAAACAGACTATCAAAGTGTATGTTGAGATCTCCGTAGAACAATAATAACAACATAAACTAATAAAAGTAAAATTCCTGGAAAGAAAAAAGAAACCTCGTAGAAAGCGAAGCTGTAACCAAGCATTCTACAAAGAGCGTCGTCCTGTTTGGGGAAGAGTTTGACGAGCTGCAAGAAGAACTCGCTCTTATCCAAGTAGTTCTGCCAGGTTTCTAGTACCAAGTCTAACACTCTGTTAGGATCCAGATCAAACCTGGGGACACGATTTTAATCAATGTCAGTTTCTGCTGGCATGAGGATTTTCAATGTCCATTGTTCAAAATGCACATAATATGATATCTAGTCCCACCAACAATAAGTAGCTAACATAAATTATAAGCGACAATTAATTAATACGTTTAAACGTGAAATTAAATGACCAGTTACCTGCCAATAAGCTTAAGAAGGTGATCTATCATTGTCTGTGCATCTGAGGGAGGGTTAGCCAGCTCCATGATCAACTTGTTATACCCCTCATTCTCCTCTCGTAACAAGTTAAACTTCTGCTGCTTGTAGAACAACTTCGTTCTAGTTCTCACGTACCTGGTTTCACGTGGTTTAGCGGGTATCACGTGGTTAAGCGGGTATCGCGTGGTTTAGCGGGTATCACGTGGTTTAGCGGGTATCACGTGGTTTATATTTAGCGGGTATCACGTGGTTTAGCGGGTATCACGTGGTTTAGATGGTATCACGTGGTTTAGAAGGTATCACGTGCTCACGTGGTTTCGAGGGTATCACGTGGTTTAGCGGGTATCACGTGGTTTAGCGGGTATCACGTGGTTTAGCGGGTATCACGTGGTTTATATTTAGCGGGTATCACGTAGTTTAGCGGGTATCACGTGGTTTAGATGGTATCACGAGGTTTAGCGGGTATCACGTGGTTTAGCGGGTATCACGTGGTTTAGCGGGTATCACGTGGTTTAGCGGGTATCACGTGGTTTAGCGGGTATCACGTGGTTTAGCGGGTATCACGTGGTTTAGCGGGTATCACGCGGTTAAGAGGGTATCACGTGGTTTATATTTAGCGGGTATCACGTGGTTTAGCGGGTATCACGCGGTTTAGCGGGTATCACGTGGTTTAGCGGGTATCACGTGGTTTAGCGGGTATAACGTGGTTTAGAGGGTATCACTTGGTTTAGCGGGTATCACGTGGTTTATATTTAGCGGGTATCACGTAGTTTAGCGGGTATCACGTGGTTTAGATGGTATCACGAGGTTTAGCGGGTATCACGTGGTTTAGCGGGTATCACGTGGTTTAGAGGGTATCACGTGGTTTAGCGGGTATCACGTGGTTTAGCGGGTATCACGTGGTTTGGAGGGTATCACGTGGTTTAGCGGGTATCACGTGGTTTAGCGGGTATCACGTGGTTTAGCGGGTATCACGTGGTTTAGCGGGTATCACGTGGTTTAGCGGGTATCACGTGGTTTAGCGGGTATCACGTGGTTTATATTTAGCGGGTATCACGTGGTTTATATTTAGCGGGTATCACGTGGTTTAGCGGGTATCACGCGGTTAAGGCCACAGGGGGGGTCCGAGGTCAATTTTGAGATTTTGAGATATGTTGTAGAGCTCGATCTAAATTTTCAAATGCTTTTGTCCTTACTGAAAACAAACTTTCCTATTTGAAGATATCGCGCGTTGAATTTTGAGGTTTACCTGTAATTCTATTGTAAATGAAAACTTTAAATGAAATCGTGTTCAAAATCTATCTTCTTTTACAGTTTACGACTTAGAACCTTGTAACTTGGCAAAAATGTTCTTCAAGGTATTTTGAGTTTTTGTTATGTAACGATTTTTGATATCTTGCTCCAAAGCTGAGATATGAGGTTAACCATAAGTACGGGTTACAAAATTTAAAACGGTTAACCTCATAAAAAGAGTTAGGAGCAAAATTACAACAATCGTTACATAACAAACTTTTAAATTTATGTCAGGAACGTATGTTCCAAATTTGAGGTGAATTGGATAAAAGCTCTAGGAGAAGATAGATTTTAAAGTCTAAAATTCGAGGTTTTCAGGAGAGGCAAAAAACTGTTTTTTATGTTTTGTGATTTTTGAGTATTTTGCCTTTATTTGTATATTTCTCAAAGTTTAACTGCTGATATAACACAAAAACTATAAAAACAAAACTAATAGTAGTTTTCAGTTGAAATGGCATCAATATTTCTGCCCTCCATCATCGATTCATCAAAAAAATGAGGTTAACTTTAGTCACTAAACACATGGTATGGCTTGTATTTGTAGTTCCATATGTTATATACTGTAGTTTTTGATACACTTAAGGAGATTAAATCCCTGAAACACCATTTCCTGCAAGTACTGCATATTAATGATGCAAATTTGAGGTTAACTGATATTCAAATGTGAGGTTAACCGCTATTAAGGTTCCATTAAAGTTGCTGTATTACAAATTGAAATAAGTTGGTTAACCTCATTTTATCGTATGTTAATGGTCAATATTGCTTGCAAGGAATAGTTGTTTCAAATCATATTTTTCTCGTGATCAATCTTCCCAGCAAATATATAACTTACTAATGTCTTGAGTTCGATTAAAAATTAGACAATTATGTATGTTTTATAGTGGTCACAATTTACCTGGTTAACCTCATTTTTTAGATTTTCTGTAGATTTGAAGTAATACATTAGTACGAGATACGTTTTGAAATTAAAATGCACTGAACTTACTTTATGAATGATGATAACTTTCATCTCAGTCCTTCTCGATATCAATGAAATAAGAGGTTAACCTCGTTTTTACCCACTTTGGGTTCTTCATTTTCAACCAATTGCGAAACAAAATTAGGATTCATTATTTGTTGATCGAAACAACAAAATATCTTGGCATGAAATCAATTCTAGGCATCAATTTCGTTACCCTCAATATTGCATAGCCAATTTCGGAAGAATTGGTTAACCTCATTTATTAAAAAAAGTAAAATAGCTACAGACAAATGAGTGGTGGCAAAGTATCCGCCACAAAAATACATATTGATTCAAAGCATAATATTTTTTTGCATTTTTTAAGGCCTCGACCCCCCCCCCCCCCCTGTGGCCTTAAGAGGGTATCACGTGGTTTAGCGGGTATCACGTGGTTTAGCGGGTATCACGTGGTTTAGCGGGTATCACGTGGTTTAGCGGGTATCACGTGGTTTAGTGGGTATAACGTGGTTTAGTGGGTATCACGTGGTTTAGCGGGTATCACGTGGTTTAGAGGGTATCACGTGGTTTAGCGGGTATCACGTGGTTTAGCGGGTATCACGTGGTTTAGCGGGTATCACGTGGTTTAGCGGGTATAACGTGGTTTAGAGGGTATCACTTGGTTTAGCGGGTATCACGTGGTTTATATTTAGCGGGTATCACGTAGTTTAGCGGGTATCACGTGGTTTAGATGGTATCACGAGGTTTAGCGGGTATCACGTGGTTTAGCGGGTATCACGTGGTTTAGAGGGTATCACGTGGTTTAGCGGGTATCACGTGGTTTAGCGGGTATCACGTGGTTTAGTGAGTATCACGTGGTTTAGCGGGTATCACGTGGTTTAGAGGGTATCACGTGGTTTAGCGGGTATCACGTGGTTTAGCGGGTATCACGTGGTTTAGCGGGTATCACGTGGTTTGGAGGGTATCACGTGGTTTAGAGGGTATCACGTGGTTTAGCGGGTATCACGCGGTTAAGAGGGTATCACGTGGTTTAGCGGGTATCACGTGGTTTGGAGGGTATCACGTGGTTTAGCGGGTATAACGTGGTTTAGAGGGTATCACGTGGTTTAGCGGGTATCACGAATTTAATAGTATGTGAGATAGTCAAATGCATTGACGTTAATTTACAGGGGGAAAAAATCGTTAGGCTGTGTTTAAGTGCTGGTAGACGCCGTATCAAACAAAAACTCAAGTATTCAAGCTTTACGAGAACTTGCACAAAACCAGCAGCACAGTTTGTCTAACTAACTTTGTGTTGAACTGTTTGCTGTTGCTGATAAGCTTTACCCGTTCCAGAGTGTCATACTCCAGCCGCTCTTTAAGGATGTCGTGTTTGATGTGTTTTGTAACGGACTCCAACACCTTGATAAATATCTCGCGATCCTTAACGTCCTCCTTGGTGGCGGATTCTATGTCCAGCACGGCAAACATGTCAACAAGGTCAGTCTGGGAAGTAGAGAGTGGTGTCATGATTATTGATAACGAATATTTAGAATAGTTTAAATGATAGACAGATAAAAAGGTGGATGTAACTGTGGGTAATTGGTCGGCACGTGATCTTTATTTTCACTTAAAAACAACCAAGTTGAAGAGGCCGAGAGCTCTGAAACTGAAAAGGATAGCCAATTTCCGTAATCATAGTACTGGCCATCTCAAGGTTCTAACAAATTATAAACACGTGATAAGACCACGTGACATTACCTGTTGCTCAACATTAGTTGCGTTACTCCGGACAAAGGTGATCACTTCGTCCACCTTTATCTTCTCCTCGTAACAATCATGGAACATTCGATACAACTTCTTCGTGTCCATCCTCCCGAGCTATGGTTAAGGGTTTAGTTAAGGGTTTAGTGCCAAGGTAATAACTAGTAACCATAATAATATTATTACATACTTGCATTGGGCATCGTAGTTTGGATTGTAAAGAAATGAATATAAAGAATCGATTATAAAAGAATCTGATGTTTTCTAGAATTTACTAAGCGATGATCAGTATAATTTTAGTTATCTTTAGGTAGCTCTGTTTAAATAAAATTAAAATTTGTTTACAATTAATAGTCGTAAAATAGGCATTATAATTGGAACACACCAAATTAAACACTGCACATAAGTTATAAAATAATAAAGCACTTGCGAATTATAAAGTACCCAAAGTAATAAACAATTTGGTTACCAATGGTTACGAATTAAAATTAACATAACATTATAACATTTGGATACTTAGTGCTAGCGACTGCTCACTGCTATTATGCTAGCGACTGCCCATTACAAAGCTGCAGTATGTGAATTACCGAGCTACTTTAAAAAACTTAAAACAAAATGTATTTATTTAAAATAACTAAATAGATAACTATTATATATAATGAAACCAATCCGCCTCTTTTATGGTGATAACAAATGAAATAAAGACTAATGAACCTTACATGAGTTGCTAATTAAACCAACAAAACTTCAAAACAATTAAAGGTACTGATCATTTACACCTAGTACAATTAAACTGAATTAAAAATTATTATTTTCACGTCAAAAAATGTTAAAATAACGTCGATAAAAATGTCGACATGCATGGCCTGGGTAAGGGGTCTTACAAATAACAAATGGTAGTGATTATAGAAAACTTTTAAAATGGTCAATAAAAAACTTTCTGCTTTCTTTATCACCCATTGTGAAGTAAACAAAATAACAAATTTGAAATAAATCAAAAGTTTAAAAATCTAAAAATGTAACACCCTGTCACGTTATCTGCATACCTTAACGAGCACCACTCTCACACTTTACGACCACTCAGCTTTGCAGCTTGGACACCTCAGCTGATCCAAACTTGCTGCAAGTTTCGTCTTACAGTGGAAGTGGAACTTGGTATTACAATCTTCACACCGTGTTCCGTAGATGCAGATAGTTCTACACAAGCTACAGCTCGTTACATGCTCACCATAAGCTGACTGAATGTACTGTCCTAGCTCAATGAGTGCCCGGGGACCTAGCAAGAATGAATTATTACTGCGGTCCTCAATAAGCCACCGCTCACTGCACCACCCACGCAACAGAGCCTTGGCGTGGACATAGGTCATCTTTTTCTGTTCAGGAAGACTATTACATAGAGTCAGAGAATCTGTGCTCTGGACACAGCCCTCATCCGATAATATCATCTGTTCGATTATTTTACGGAAGTACGCAAAGTCTAGGGGTGCATAGTTGGAGCAGAGTTTAGAGATCTCGTCCTCTTGGTTGTTAACAAAGCAGTAATATTTAGTGCCGCTGTTCTCGCAGGTTCCTTTTCTTATCTCCAGAAACAAAGCTGATAGTTGTGAGTTTATTCTGGTTATGTGGTCTTGTAGTTGAGTCTGGGTGTTGGGGTTGTTCAAACCTGTGAGATTTAGTCATTTCAATCAAAATATAGAGTTTTAAACTATAAATGTGCAAATTAAATGAAATATGGGAGTAAAAATCTTAAAGATCTTCATACAGTAAGAAACAGACAGTGGCATAACTGAAGTTTCATTTCAACAACAAAACCTAACCCTATGTAACCTGCAAGTTCGAAACACTTGATCAATAGTTCGTGTGCTTCTCTCTCGGATACTATCCTCCTTGCAGCTAGGGTTTGAAGGAACATGTGGTGCTCCATGTCTAGTCTTGTCATTGTTTACTATTGGTGGGATAAAAGTCTTCAAATTTGCGTATTTTTTATTATTCAGTTATTATAATACTGGATGTAATGTGCCTGCTTACTGACAATGTCAAACAGGTGAAATCAAGCATCAGTAGAATTTGGAAAAATCACGTGTTAATTTATGATTGAAAAGTTTGACATGTGAATGTGTCATTGATCATGTAATTGGAGGGTGCTACTTTGACCGGGTTTTGACTCTTGTACAATTCTATAATGTATACCCATAAATACTTCATTTAGTTATATATGATACTTCTTAGAAGCATTCTGGGAAATTGTTATCTTACGGTATACTGGTATTCAAAAATATATTTCCAGCACTCTTTCGCTTAAAGATTGGAGACATCGGAGAAAGTGAAACTAAAGTTCAAAAACCTGACTATAAATAAATTAATAGAAGACATTTACAAAATTTAGAAGCCTAAGTTCCCTTGAAAATCATTGAACAGTTTTTGTGACATACATTTAGCAGGAGTAATCAAATCGATTTTGACTTGTCTGAATTTTTTGAAAATTTTAGCATCTGATTGCTGATCCAATAGCGAGGAACGTCCCAAAGGTGCCTCCTGATTGCAACATTGTTGAGCCCAACTCATTGATAAGTTTCTTGCCTCTTAGACCACCCCTGAACAAGATCTGCTATTACATTTCAGGATATCAATATATATAATAGTAAGAAGTAGAATTTAAATAAAATTAAATATAAAGGCTTATTCTTATCGGGATTTCATGAAGCTTCAGATTGGTACACTCAATAGTGAATATCTTCACCATAACTATGACTGTTATAAAACACTAGTTTATTTATCTTTAGAAAAACAGGTATTCAGTGAATTTTCAGCTAACCTGATACCAACAAAGCTACCAAACATGAGTCCCACTCCACAACCCAGTGCAGCGCCCATCATGGCACCAGTTTTCACCTTGGTCCAGCAGGAAACTTGGATTGCAGCTGACTGGTGCTGAGCCATCACCTAAACCAATTAAAACTTACTTCAGAGGTTATGAAAGATCTTGTTTTGATTTTATAATAAAACTGACTTGAAGAAGTTCACAGATTTTATTTTATTTTTAATTGAGTAATACAAATAAATACATAGACATGTACAAACTTTCATATTCATTATAAAAACAATTTAGTTAGCTCTTGTATCTTTGCACAACCAAGCAAAATTTAGGATTAAATTGGAGGTAGGTCCCACCTTTCATATTTTCAATTTTATAATGCCCACTTGGCAAAATTTTCAAGAGCTTGCTCTTCAATCTTCATTCATTTCATCTAGAAAATATATCTCTGACAGATTTTGAAACCCTGGATTTCTTAGCACGAAGAGACATATATATTAGTTTTATATTTGCTTTACGCCATTCTTCTGTGTATGTGTTAAAGTTGTCTTTATTTGACAAGAGATATGTCCTGTAGAATTCCTCCATGATTCGCTCAATCTCTTGTTCATCTTCTATGTCGTTTTCTTCAATCTGGTGTATTAGATATATGTTTTTGCAGTGACAAAATTCAAATAATATTGTAAAAAATACATTAGGTTTTAAGTAAGTCATAATATGTGATGGCTACAGATTTATAATTACTGTACATAGAAAATCTAGAAGATTTCCTATCACAGTCCACTTGTGTGTACTTCAACGAACCTCATCAAGCAATCGCTGCTTTATGCTAGAATAAGAAAAGTTCTGTTTTTGCCAGTGCCTGTGATTCCACTCATGCAGCTCTGTAGCGTACAGTCTCAATGACATTTCCTCTGCTGTCTCATCTTGTCTCTTACCATACCTGATAGAGTGATATACAGCTGATTGACAAACACATAGTGGTAAATTAAATCAATGAATGCAAATACTTCTAAATAAATTTAAATAAATTATTAGATCTTTAATTTCATCAGATTCAAAAATTCACAATACAATACCTGATTCGTCTGATATTCGATACTCTGTCAGCTGGGCTTACGTAATCACAGTCTTTTCTTAGTTCAGTATCATCTGGCAATTTAGCAGCAGAAGGTATTTGCTTAGAAAATGTGTTGTGTAATCGTACAACAATTTGCCTTTTCATGTCATATTCTGACTTCTGGGTTGAAGGTAAGTTGTGAGATTAAGTATGACTTTAGTTACCCAATTGACAGGAACATAATTTGCAGCTAGCTAAATCGGAATATTGTTACAGTTCCTTTCTTTTAACACTGAATGTTTTTGATCCTGACAGCAACCATCTGATAATGATAGTGAAAAATGATACATTCAATAAAATTATATGTGACCCAATTGGAAGAGCACAGCACTCTGGTAACGAAAATGATCGATTGCTATCAATCTAAGTAAACTATAGGTAAAAATATAATATTTATCATAAGCTAAAATGTACTAATCTTTGTATTCTAAATGGGGAAAAAGAAGAAACATTGTCAGTCAGTCGAGAAAATTGTCAGTCAGGCTATATGGCAGCTTTGTAGATGTTGTGACTATGCTAGTAGTGGTCCCAGGCTTGCGACTGGAATTGCGGTGTTAAATCGATTTAATGTAATAGTTGTAAAAATCATATTTTCATTACGCGTCTAATCTTTGAGCTCTCTTATCTTTTTAAGTTTTTAGTACTTCGCCTTATCTTACTTGTCAATATTCATATTCCCTAGTGGATTTCTAAGATTATTTCCAAGATTATTTCGTAAATTCATACTCAAGTCCCTTTAATACTGTATAATGGAAACTATACTGGCCGGTAAACTAGCCACTCTGAACTCACTTGGTCCTCGCCTGGACAGTCTCCAAATTACTGATCCAGCGCTTATAGAACTTAAATTTATTTTAAATACTGTGATTACGCAGCTTATCGAGGTTAAGACCGACCTTGTTATTTCGTCTATCACTCAGCAGGAAAGTTTTATCCGTACTGCCAAAACTGAGCAGTATAGTCGACGAAATACGTGTGTTGTTGTTGGATTAAAGGTTGATGCATCTGAATCAAATAATACACACAGTAAGCTTGCTGATAATGTTTGTAAAACTCTTTCTACGGTGTCAGGTACCCCGGTTAAGCCGACAGATTTATCTGCCGTACATCGTAATGGCAGTGGTAAAACACAGTCGCAAGAGGGTCGTTCTACCCGATCTAATAATAAAACCCCTCCGTCGGTCACCGTTTGTTTCTATAACAGTAATTTGAAGGATAAAATTATGCAAAACTTCTCAAACTTTGACTCATCAGCTGATAAGCCACGTGATGTCAGACTTTATCAATCGTTAACTAAGTTCTATTCTGATCTCAAGACCCAAATATCTGGTCTAGTTGAGTCTAGTCTAGGTAAGAACAAGGTTCGTTGGATCCACTGGAGATCGCAGTCTGCTGGTTTAGTCGTAAAACTGAAAGATAGCAATCAAACCGTCATCAAGAGTATCTTCTGCTTTGATGATTTCAAGAAGCAATTTCAATCTCTAAACCTAAACTAGTCAGATTTCGATATTTTCTTAATTCTCCATGGTTCTATCAGCTAACCATTTGATTCACTAATACAGTTTTGATCTCTATAGTTTACCGCTTGGAACTGTCTAATACGGTTTAAACTACGATTTTTAGATTATTACGGTGCTAACTATACCACACGTTATTGACCGCTTGATTACGTCACTAGCTTTTATTGCGTCACCCGATGTCTTGTTTTCCCGCGCTGGTCGTATTATTGTGAGTTTTTATCTACATTTTATCATCATTTAATCATTTAGTTTTTCACCCTCTGTCTATTGTTGAACAACCTTATCTACTTTACTGCCCGTTTAATCACCATTTTCACCATCTTTTCCCATTAAGTTGATATCTAATCTGACATTTTATCTTTTCATCGCTGAAAAACTTAAATATGAAAATCTTATTTCTGATCGACAAGGTTCGAGCTATTTCAGCAAATTGTGGGGTTTTAAGGTTAAACCTTATAATTTCGCTTCAATAATTTATAAAAAGAAAAGAAAAGAAAAAGACAAAAAAAAAGAAAAAGAAAAAAATACATTGGTAAAAAAGTCGTAAAAAAAAAAAAAAAGAAAAAAGAAAAGTTGAATTAAATAGACAGTTTATGCAAAACATGTTTTAAAATAAAGTTTCCATTACTCAAGTGTACGTTAACATGGTTAGGGACTTGCTTTCGATACTATGTCACATTCAATATCCCTTAAAACCAACGAGGTAAAACGTGAAAATTGTTACGTTTGCTCAAAGCACGTTTATCTTCATGATTCGGTAGTTGTCTGCTCACTTGACGGCAGAATTTATCATAGCAGATGTTTTAAGATTGACAATTACTCCGCATCGGAGATTCGTAGATATGACGATTGGTATTGTCCTCTCTGTTGCAGAGAGATGTTTCCATTTTTTGATGATACCACTGATTCAAATGTTGATAATTCAAACCAAATGTTTTGTGTTCAATGTAGTAGAATAATCTCACAAAGGCGTGATAAAATTACTCACTGTACTATCTGTTTGAATGCAGCCCATGCTAGCTGTATCTCTTCTATTTGTAACAAATGCGAGAATCATTCTCCTAACAATACTGATTGTACCGATAGCAGCTTATTCTTTAACCCTTATAACCAGGACTTTGATCAAGACAAGTTTGATTTCGATCAGGATGAAGTTGAAGAGTTTTGTTCAACTTTTTCAGTTGCTTCGGCTATTTTGAACGACTGTGCTTGTATTACACCAAAACCTGACACTGTAAAATCGTTATCAAATGCACGTTCCTTTACTAGTAAACACACTAATTTGTATTATCACAACATCGATGGTTTTCAAACTAATTTTACCGAATTTCTTAATCAACAACTGATATTTAAAGGTATTGATTTTCAGTTTTATTGCTTTGTTGAAACTAATTTACATGAAGGTGTGCCTCATGATTATAATATCACCGGTTTTTCTGCTGAACATTTATTTGCTATCGAAGGTAAAAGGAAAGGCTCAGGTATCTCGATTTTCTTTCGTGACAGTTGTTCCTTTAAACGTAGCCGTGACCTAGATATCCGTAACAGTTATTTTGAATGTTTGGGTGGGTCTTTTGTAACTGATGTTGGCAAATGTTTTTTAATCGTTTTGTATCGATTCAATAAATCTGCTAATGATGAATTTTTCACCAAGCTTAACAATATCATTGAAAAGTACGCGCATGGTCCGTGCATTGTACTCGGGGACTTTAATTTTAACTGTTTTAATCATGAAACTGATTCGTCAGTGTCGCGTTATTGTGAACTCTTTTTTAATTTCGGTATGTCTCCGCTAGTTAGCAGGAAGACTCACACATTTCGTGGAGCAACTACTTTAATTGATCAGATCTGGTCGAATTATTTTACTGAGGACACGAGTACATATGTTATAGATAATTCTATTTCCAATCACAGACCTTTAGTACTCTCAGTTCCACTCAATCTTAATTCGTACGCTGACAATAACTCTGGGGGTGATAATGGCACTAAACCCTTTTTACTTCACAATGTTTCCCCTGAAAATTATGAAAAGTTTGGTGTTGAGTTTAATTCTTATTTTGCTAACTTTACTAATTTGATTGCCAACAACCCAGATTCAGTAAACTCAGCTGTATCAGCGCAATCTTGCTTTACAGATTTCTTCACTACATTCAAACAATTGTATTTTGAACATATTGTGGAAGAAATTGACTTGAATAGTAGTAAGCGTAATCACTACTTCAAACCTTGGATTACAATAGCTATTGCCAAGTCCTGTATGACCAAAAATACGCTGTATAATGCATGGGTTAATTCGAGAGGTTCTCCGAATGAAACCATAGCCATGACTGTTTATAAGTCATATCGCGCAAAACTACGTGATATTATAAGATTTCGAAAAAGTTGTTATTTTCGTGATAAATTCACCCGTGCTTCTGGCAATATCAAAAAATGCTGGCAAATTATCAACGAGATAAGATGTAAAACAAACTAACATTTCCAGATTACATCTCTGAGAACGGTCAACTTATACGTGAACGTCGTGTTATCTGTACCCACTTTAACAAGTATTTCACTTCTATCGCTGATAAACTTAACGAGAAGAAGTATGATGATAATTCTAACCCAGTCCTGGTCCCTGATTTTCGTGACTTTCTACATTCTCCTGTTACAAACACTATCTTTCTTAAACCCATAGTATTTTCTGAGATTAGTGAGATTATTCGTAAACTTAACAGCAACAAGTCATCAGATTTCTCTCCTAGAATTCTTAAGTTATTTAATTATCAGTTTTCCACCATTCTTACTCATCTTTTTAACAACTGTATGAACAACTCATTATTTCCTTCGGAACTTAAAATTGCCAAAGTTTTACCGCTTTTTAAAAGTGGTGACCGTAACTCTGTTTCAAACTATCGACCAATTTCTATACTTCCAGTTTTTTCCAAAATCTTTGAAAAGCTGATACAGTCAAGGTTAATTTCGTTTTTTACAAAGGAAAATGTTCTCCACGAGGGTCAGTTTGGATTCAGAAGTGGGCGTTCGACCATACAGGCACTTAACACGTCTATCTGCAACATTTTAAAAAGTCTGGATCAGAAAAATCACACTTTAGCTATCTTTATAGATAAATAAATAAATAAATCTAAGTAAACTATAGGTAAAAATATAATATTAATCATAAGCTAAAATGTACTAATCTTTGTATTCTAAATGGGGAAAAAGAAGAAACATTGTCAGTCAGTCGAGAAAATTGTCAGTCAGGCTATATGGCAGCTTTGTAGATGTTGTGACTATGCTAGTAGTGGTCCCAGGCTTGCGACTGGAATTGCGGTGTTAAATCGATTTAATGGTACCAACGATCCACCTCCCACTTGTTGTTTGGTACTTAGCATTAATAGTGTTAGCTGTAGCCATTTATAGCAAGAATCTTAAAACTAAAGGGGATGACAAGGAAAAGAGGAAGGAAAAAGAATAACGGGACAAACAATTAATTAAAGTATTTATAGGAGCATTAGATATTGTAATTACAAGCTTCAATAATAAATCACTGACTAAAACTTCTAATTAAAATGACACTTGGTACGCTCGCCCATTTTCACTGGTCAGTCTGAACTTCGGTTTAGCACGTTGTACACTTATTCACCTAAGTTTCAGAATTTGTTCAGTTTAGCAGAGTTAGTACCCGTGTTTCAATAAATCAAAAGATATCAGGGGAGTTCTTTAATAATGTTACGGTCATCTAGAATACCGAACTTCCTGAAAACGTTATCATATTTCCTCAGACAACGTTTAATGCCTTTAATCAGTCTATCACGGCTATATCCTCTATCAATTAGAATTTTGAATATTTTGTGAAGATGGGAGGTAAAGATATCCAATCTAGTGCAAACATTACCATATCTAAGAACTTGACTTGAAAAAACGTTGTAGCCAACCTCGGTTGGGATGTTACTGTGAGGAAATGTAAGGGATACAACATGAAAATTAAAATCATCAGTTTTGTTATACACTGATATTTCTAGTCCTTCTGTGGAAATATTAATATTTAAATCAAGGTAGTTAATGATTTTATTATTGGAACCAGCTCGCTCCATCTCCAATGAATTAGGATAAATATCTTTAATCAATTTATGAAAGTAAAGGTAGTTAATAATAGATAAATCGTCAACAT